GGTCATCCAAGATGCTCGTTGATTATGAAGAGAACGGTGAAGAGAAACATCACGAGGCCCATGGTAGTGGAAGTTCGATTTGGTTACCAGACAATGCCACCAACATCAAAGTTAGGTTCCAGGTCATGCGTGCTCCTGGTGTTTGGTCTGATGTGAAAGAATACGATCGTTTCAAGAAATGTTGGGTAAAACCAACCAAGACTCATATTTTTGAGTACGACATACCAGTGAGTTGCACGTATACTTTGGATGGAAGCCTGTATTATGAAGCTGTGATGAAGGTCACAGGAGATGATGATATACAGGAACGAATTGGACTCAAGTATCATTTTGAAGGAAGTAGGTCTTCCAAAATGCTTGTTGACTATGAATTGAACGGTAAGACAGAACATGATGAGGGTGAAGGTAGTGGAAGTTTGATTTGGATACCAACCAATGCCACAAAAATCCAAGTTAGATTTCAGGTACTGGACTCTTCTGGTAGTTGGTCTGATGTAAACGAGTACGACCACCTCAAAAAATGTTGGATAGAACCAATCCAGCCTCATATTTTTGAGTACGACACACCAGTCAGTTGCACTTACACTTTGGCTGGAAAAGAGCAATGTAAAGTTGTCGTGAAGTTAGGGCAAGGTGATGATGATATAGACGAACGAGTTAGACTAAAGTATATTTCTGAAGGAAAATGGTTTTCCAAGATGCTTGTTGATTATGAAGAACACGATGAGGAAAAACATCGCGAGGTTAAAAACAGCGAGAGTTCGATCATGGTACCAAGCAATGCTACCAATATCAAAGTGAGATTTCAGGTCATGCGCGGGCCTGGTATTTGGTGTGACGTTAAAAAGTACGACCGTTTCAAAAAAAGTTGGGTAACACCAAAGCAGCCTCATATTTTCGAGTACAATAAACCAGCATCTCGCACGTACACTTTGGATGGAAAGTTACATTATGAAAAAGTAATCAAGATCATGGGAGGACATTATGAAGAAATAGCTGATGAGTAAAACGTCAGGATTAGCCGGAATTAGCCAGAATTAGCTGGAATTAGCCGGAATTAGCCAGAATTAGCTGGAATTAGCCGGGATTGCCCGGAATTAGGTCGGAGTAAGGTCGGAGTATTACAATTTTTTACTATTATTGCCTAAATAACTTGGCACACACATTACTGTATTTTGCATGCTTAAAAATGGAGAACCACAAACTAGACTTGGGGACATGTGTAAGTTCTGTCTCATAGTTGAGTTGTATTCATTTGTATTGAACTGCAAAGTATATCCTGAAAGAATTGTCAGCTCGTAAACCGTCTAGCTGATAAATTTCTTGATGCCCGATGACAGCCGCGTGACACAGCCACGAGTCCACGACACAGCCACGAGTCCACGACACAGCCACGAGTCCACGACACAGCCACGAGTCCACGACACAGCAACGAGTCCACGACACAGCTACAAGTCCACGACACAGCCACGAGTCCACGACACAGCAACGAGTCCACGACACAGCCACGACACGACACAAGCTCTATTTGAAAGTCAAAATTTGCAATTATGAATTTAGACTATACCCCGCGGTGCACTGGATATCGAGTCTTTATGAATCCGTGCCTTTTCGTGTATAATGCTTTTATCGTAAAGCTGTGTCATCGGGAAACCAATGATCTCATAATTGATGTGAAACTAAGCTGGTAGCCATCTTAGTCTCGATAACTTGTTAAAAGATTAACAAATGAATTCATTTTGGACTAAACTGATGATAAATGGGGGCCATTGCAACTGACAAATTTAGATTAGACGGCTGCATTTTGTGCGTTAAAATAGTTGAATGTATATAGTGATGAAACTTTTGAATATAGAGCAAACAAAAAAATGACTAAATTAAAGTGTTTACCCATTCCCTAATTTTTTATACAAAAGTTGCCCTTTAAAGTTCATAAAATAGTAATACAGTTTATGTTCTTGGGCAGAAATGTGTTTTTGGCCCGACTCTGAACTGATTTATGCCCGTAAATAATAACTTTGTTGTTATAACATAGTATGTCCGATTTTATCATTCACTGATGACTTTTAAACAGTAATTCATTTTAAAAATTTATATATATTGACGGCGCTTTTGACATACCTAATTTCTTTTACAATAATAGTGTAATCGAAGGTTGTCTAGCTTCGAGGGAGAAGATATTATATACATTGTTGTTTGTGGTAAATTATTAAATTTTTATTTTTTCATTCTTACATTCTTTGCCTACCCTTACAAATCTCTTGGAGACTTTTTATCAAATAAACAAGCTCAACGTATATTTCTCGGAAGTAGTATCGAATGCTTGGAAACGTTCATCGCGGTCTCATTTTGGACACCGCAGGTTACCTGCAGCTGCAGAGAGGCCGCCAGTCGCGTTGGTAATAAAAATTGTATTGTTTCTTCGAATTTCCTCGAAGAAAAACTATTACAATTGTCAACGTAAATTATTATGAAAAAAAGAAAGAAATAAACTAAACTATTTGGCCTGCTGATTGGTTGTTGCTGTTGCTACGAACAACATACCGGTTTGAAAACATTATAATGTCAATTTTAGCATTTTTTCCTCAGTTTAAACCATGTCATTTATGAACCACCCGGAACTGGCCGAAGAGAACAACGTACTCGAATTTTACAAGGTTAGTCTAAAGAACTTTGAAGTTCACAAGACTGCTTATTTATCTTTTAACTTTCCTGTATCCGTATACTTGTTATCATATGTAATTGTCTATGTAAATTTTCACCTGTAGAGTTATATATAGAAAAGATTAATATTTTTTGGCGAGGCTTATTGGCTGCTGCTGTTGCTACGAACAAAACATTATAATGTCAATTTTGCATGTTTTTCCTCAGTTTAGACGAAGTTGTTGATAAAACAAGTAACAGCGAAAGCTACTAGTCAGTCGTGACCTAGCTCGAATTTCAAAGCCAACATTGAACCACCCCGAACTGGCCGAAGAGAATAACGTACCCGACAAGGTTAGTCTAAAGAACTTTGAAGTTCACAAAACTGCTCATTAAACTTATCTTTTAACTTTCCTGTATTCGTATACTTGTTAAGTTTTAAATATGATTTTTCACATTGTGAGAATATCTGCGATGTTGTAAACCCGTATATGTAAAACCCTCTTCTATATGTATAATTAAGACTAGAGTAGAGATTTATGATCACATAGTGGAGGTTTTTGAACGGTGAATTTATCAGAATATAGGTGTAGTGTCCTTAAAAATCATTCCGTTCAGAGATGGCTATAGAATATCCTTAAACACGAATGTTCACGAAACACTCATTCGTGATATATGGCTATGCTATTCAGTTTTCAGTATATTCTTATTTCTATTTTGCAAATTTGCAAACCCAAATGTATTTTGTAAAATGAAAAACAGTTATTAATATTTAAATGCATGCTTACACTTATAGTGCAGTTTTTGAATTTATATTATTGCAGGAAAAATCGTGAGATTGGTTTTGCATGCCTGTAATGATATTTATACAGAAATCATTTCCAGGAAAAATGCTCAAAGCGTTAAATATTAAATATAGCTATAGCCAGTATGGGTTTGATTTGTGTCAGTAGCGAGTTTATCCACCATAGTTGCCACAGCTTTGAATTAGGAATTAGGTCGGAGTATTACAATTTTTTACTATCATTGCCATAATAACTTGGCACACACATTACTGTATTTTGCATGCTTAAAAAAATGGAGAACCACAAACTAGACATGTGTATAAGTTCTGTCTCATAGTAGAGTTGATGTTCAATGTTCATCCTAGTCTGGGTTATTATTTCAACTGAAAATTAAGAATATCCTGAAAGAACTCTCAGCTCGCAAAACGTCAAGCTGATATATTCACTTGATGTCCCATGACAGCCACGACACAAGCTCTATTTGAAAGTCAAAATTTGCAATTATGAATTTAGACTATACCCCGCGATGCACTCGATATCGAGTTGTAATGAATCTGTGCCTTTTCGTGTACAATGCTTTTATCATAAAGCTGTATAGCTATCATCGAGAAACCAATGATGTCATTGATGTGAAACTAAGCTGGTAGCCATCTTAGTCTCGATAACTTGTCAAAAGATTAACAAATGAATTCATTTTGGATTAAACTGATAAATGGGGCCATTGCACAACTGGCAAATTTAGATTAGACGGCTGCATTTTGTGCGTTAAAATAGTTGAATGTAATGATGAAATCTTTCAATAAAGAGCAAATAAAACTGAACATCTTCTCCCCATTCATGTAAAGGTTTCAACCTTTTTCTCACCTAATTTCAACTTCGATGGCATCGACGATGCATTTCGTTTTCCGGCTGTATAGACTTGTAAAAACATTTTATCATGATATGCTAAAGATTGTGTGCGCGAATTGTTAGAGAATTGAGAATAGAGGCGTCTTATGTTTGAACAATTGCATGAAACCATGTAAACGACCTAGTTTACCTCATAAATTATTCTTAAACAGTAATTTTTAATATAAAATTTCATATATGTAAAGATTGACGGCGCTTTTGACATATTTAACTCATTGCCGTCCGGTCGTAAACGACGCACGCAAAAAATTTCGATTTTATCTGCAAGTATTTTATCAAATCAACTAGAAATTGTATTATCTTAAAGCTAAAACATTTATCTATTTGTATAAGTTTAGTTTATTTCAAGAGCTTTCCTATAAGCCAAGATATTTATTGCCGATCTTGTACTTTTTAAATTGAATTTTAGAGAAGCGAAAATACGCAAAGCCTTCCAGAAATCTCGCCTAAAAACCTGAAAATACTTTCTCAAAGGAAAAGATTAAATCCATTTAATTTATCTTATAATTGTCTATGTAAATTTTCACTTGTAAAGCTGGCCAGTTTTTTTGGCCAGGCTGATTGGCTGTTGCTGCTGTTGCTGTTGCTACAACAACAGTCAACTGGAGTCATTGATAAAGCAAATAACAGCGAAAGCTACTAATCAGTCCTGCATGAGTCCTGACCTAGCTCGAATTTCAAAGCCAACATTGAACCACCCCGAACTGGCTGAAGAGAACAACAACGTACTCGAATTATAGCTACATGCAAGGTTAGCCTGAAGAACTTTGAAGTTCACAAAACTGCTCATTAAACTTATCTTTTAACTTTCCTGTATCCGTATACTTGTTTATATATGATTTCTTACATTGTGAGAATATTTACGATGGTAAACCCTTATATGAAACCCTCTTCTATATATATATATATATAATTAATACTAGAGTAGAGATTTATGATGACATACAGTGGAGGTTTTTGAACGGTGAATTTATCAGAAAATAGGTGTAGTGTCCTTAAAAATCATTCCGTTCAGAGATGGCTAGAATATCCTTAATTAAACACGAATATTGAAACACTCATTCGTAATTTATTGCTATACTATTCTACCCCATTCAGTTTTCAGTATATTCTTATTTCTATTTTGCAATTTTGCAAACCCAAATGTATTTTGCTAGCTGAATGAAAAACAGTTATTAATATTTAAATGCATGCTATATGATATAGCGCAGTTTTTGAACTTATAATATTGCAGGAAAAATCGTGAGATTGGTTTGCATGGCTGTAATGATATTGACAGAAATAATTTCTGGGAAAAAATGCTCAAAGCGTTAAATATTAAATGGCTATAGGTTTTAATATTTATAGTATAGGTTAACAGTATAGGAGTAGCTAGTTTGTCCAGCAAAGGCTGTATAATTATGACGCTGACATACATGGCATGCATGAAAACAGCTGCATGCTTGCGAACCTGTACTAATTTTAACTTTAGTTTAAGCCTTACTTTTGCCGACCCCCTTGCAGAGATTTGTGCGAGGAGTTTCTGTCAAAATGGGGACATTTGGCTACATCTAACTGTCAACTCTTTTTGTAAAGTTCTTGTTAGAAGACTTTGACTTCGGATTTTGGATATTGTTGATTATAATAATACTTCCTAATGTCGTAATGAGTATGGAAAGGGGTGTTGACAGTCAATACAGTGTGTACAAGAAAAATTCGAATCCACATTTGGCGTGTATTTATGCAGAATATATGTGACAAAATTGGTTGATTTTTACACCATTGTTAAGTTTATTTATTTGCCTTTCAAATGACATCCATGTACGCGTCATTCTGTTAAAGAGTGAACGAATATTGGGTCGAAAACAAAGTCGATAAAAATTACATTCTGTTATTTCTGGTCGTATTGACGTACGAAGATATAATACATAATAAAATTTTGCATAATAAAAAAGTGAAACATCTACATTAGACTTGTTAGAACGATTTGTGCAACTCGGACTTTGAGGAATGCTTATATTGACATAATTTGTTAACGCAAGTGATTTTTTTATTGCACTGCATAATGTCTTGAAAACATTCCAGTGGTCAAACTGCAAATTGTGAAAGATATGAAACTTGTTCTTTACTAGATGTAAACCATCTTAGATTGCGATTCTCGATTTACTCTTGTGTAGGTTGATCAAACATTTATTCAAACTTTCAATATTTGCTACAATATTCAATTGGTTCCAAAAAATCGTCTTTCGTAATATAACTTGTATAATCATTCGAGCGATGCATTCCACGAACCTTTGGAAACAAACGCTTTTGTTAAATTGTGTGTGAATTGAAATCAGATTATATAACGTCGTATGTAGTTATGGTCCGCTTCTATATTGAAAAAAAATTCATAGCTGAGACCACCAAGGTTTGTGAAGGTTTTGTTTGTGAAGATAATTAAAAGTGTTCAATGTCAGTATAACTTATATATGTGAATCGCATACCTGATATCAATTAACTCTTGACAAAGAGATCGCGGTGCATTTTAGGATTATTTTGGAAACGAAAAATATGATGACTGGCGTCAAAATATACGTCGAAATCTTGTATAAAACTTGTATAATCATTCGAGCGATGCATTCCATGAACGTTTGGAAACAAACGCTTTCGTTAAATTGTGTGTGAATTGAAATCAGATTATATAACGTCGTATGTAGTTATGGTCCGCTTCTATATTGAAAAAAAATTCATAGCTGAGACCACCAAGGTTTGTGAAGGTTTTGTTTGTGAAGATAATTAAAAGTGTTCAATGTCAGTATAACTTATATATGTGAATCGCATACCTGATATCAATTAACTCTTGACAAAGAGATCGCGGTGCATTTTAGGATTATTTTGGAAACGAAAAATATGATGACTGGCGTCAAAATATACGTCGAAATCTTGTATAAAACTTGTATAATCATTCGAGCGATGCATTCCACGAACGTTTGGAAACAAACGCTATCGTTAAATTGTGTCGAATTGACCCCTATCGAAGCGACTCGTAGCAGGCTGCGAAGGGTTTACAATATATAGGCCCCTGCTTCGCAGGTTTGATACGGAGGCCGTTGTGCATCGTCGATGATTTTGTGAGATTATTCAGGGAAGATCAACAGTCTGTAGCAGAATAGAACTTAGAATAGAATTTTCGCTAAAAACACAGTATTTATATAGGTCTAAATAAGGACAACACCAAATAGTTGAATGCTTTTGTTGCATGCTATAATACATTGTACTAACGGATTTTTCTTCTCAGGGGACGAACTTCTTGTTTTAGTTTAAACAGGACGTACCGTACTAGGCGTGCTAGAATTCGTCCGGTTCAGGTGTTCACATGGCAAAAAATTGATGGGCAGTTCTTCGTGAACCTAGCCTCAGTTGAAAATATTGTATAGAATCTCTGCCTTCACGACTGACCTGAGCCTTATACGAAAATTCTAAAGACCGATTTAACAATAGCGTCTTTAACAATTTTGACGGTGCGTCGATTAAGCGCCGAATTTGAAAATAATTAGTGCGGCGCTCATTCGGGGGCGGCGCTCAATTGAGTAAATACTGTATGCTTCGTTTATTTTCAAAATATGCCGTCATTATCCGACCGCACTGCATGCAGGTACAAGTGAAAGAATGCATAAGAGCCACCACAATGCAACGCGCATAGTAAAATCGAGATAAAGTATAGTCAGAATGACTCGTGGTTTTTACGACTTCTTTTGTCACTAGTTGCGGATGTATACAGAAGATAGTCAACTTAGTTAAGTTATATTTAGCATTTATATTTAACATTTATACTAATAACCGTTACTAATAAACAATTAACCGATATGAAACAAACTTATTTTGTAAAATTGCTTAAACCTTGTAGTTCATCACAAACAGATCAACAAAATGTCGTCAACTGAAAATGAATCAAAAGAAATTTGGAACAACTTAGAATTTCGGATATCCCCTTCAAAGTTTGTAAAAATGTTTACCATTGACAAATGTACTTATGAAGACAAGATAATGCAAGAAATTCTGAATTTAATTTGTGCTTTGCGTAATTCCGGTGGTGGTAGGCTAACCATCTTCCTCTTGGGAACTTTATTCGAGTCAGATGTCAAAAAATGCTCCGATATTATTACAAATGCGATAAATGAAACGCTGTCTGGTACAGGAAAGGAAGATTTCTTATCGTATAATTTGTCCAACAAAATTGCATTCCTTGTAAACGGCAGCAAAGAAATCATCACAGTGAAATATAACATGTACATCATTGGCGAAGACGGTGATGCAAAACTCATGCCATCCAAAAAATCTGCGAAGGAGGTTAGATCCTATTTATTCAATCCTAATCAAACTCCAGTGTCACAGGTAACAAAAAGAAAATATCAAGATAGTGAGCTTAACGAGATTATTAGACGTCAAAAACTACCGATCAATTGCAAGCACTCGAAAGAAAACGTTATGTTTCGGTATTTGGAAAAAAAATTTAGCGATCGTCCAGCCAGCGTGGAGTCTCGTATAACACTGGAGAAAAACAAACTACTTCAGTGCGTGTCCGCTCTTGCGAATTATCGTGGCGGAGAATTGTACTACTGTGGTGTTGATTCAAGAGGATATGCTTTGGGAGAAAAAATTCCAGATAAGGAAGACGTTGAGAAAGAAGTCGAAAAGGCTATCGGATCCATGACATGGCCGAAACATGTTAATGATAAAAGCAAGTTTTGGAATATTCAGTTTGTAAGGGTAGATGAGGAAATCGAAAAGGTTGGAAAAATTGATGCTCATGAGGAACTTTATGTTATAAAGATAAATGTCAGCCCGTGCCATGACGGAGTATTCATTAAAGATCCAGAGAGCTACCATGTCGTTGAAAACAGAGCAGAAAAGATATCGTTTCTAGATTGGCTCAAATGTTTACAGAATTCAAAAACGATGATATCAGAAGATAGGCCTATGAGTGATTTCGCAAAAGGTATAAGGTCTATATATGTAAGTTGTTCAATGTGTCATCCCGCATGTCTAATTTTCTGGCTCATTTTATTAGTTCAAATAACGGGTTTTAAATGTCGAGTGCTTTTCAAATAGGCGAGTCGCTAAACAGGACGTCTTAACTTAGCTAGCTACTTTTGAATCAAATCAAAACAATGGAAAAAGCCTTTCAAACAAAGACTATATAAATGCAGTACTGTCCGGAAATAACGTCAGTCTGACTGTGGTCTGACAGACATTTTTAAAGATGTTTTCGATTTGATTATATTGTGTTGTCTTTCTCAGCTGTTCATAAAATTCCGCGAACGGCAACTGCGATCGTATTTTTTCCCTTGCGGTCGTCTGCGGTTTCTAACGGCCGAACGCGACCGAACCGCGACCGAGGTGTTAGGTTATTTCTGGACAGTACAGTATGTATGTGTAATATCCGAAATTCACGATACTCTTTTTCACTTTAAAACATTAATAGATTTATTTTAGTATTGGCTCCATAATTAGTAATGAGCCTGAAAAATAATCTTCTAATCCAGCAATTTTGTGTTGCTGAGGGTAAACGCAACAAAACAGACCATGTGATTACATGACTTTGGTTCTTTTGTGGTTTAGACACTGAATTTCTATTGGAGCGAATTTTTTTGCAACCTGGCTATGAAAACTTCCTGAGAAGGTAATACTACATTATACGTATATTTTCAGTAACTTTTATCTCATACAGGCCTTAAATTCTTCGGGAGAGGACGAACGAGTGAAAGAGCGAAGTTTCGAATAGAAATTACGACCTAGTAATGGCTTAAGTCTCGTACGCCTATGCTGATAATTCTTGTTGGTTTTTGTATTAAGGTTGGAATGGGTTTACGAAATCTAAAATCTCCTATTGGTTTCTTCTCTCTCAATTTGTTTGTACAAATTTGTTTGTGATCTCTGCCCTAATGCTTTGTTTTTGTTATAAGGTTAGAATGGGTGCGCAACGTCCGAGTTGTTGATCAAAATGAAGAATGCGACAAACGTCATTTGGAGATTGTGTGCGAATATCGCAAAGTACCTCGTATCGCTGACATTGTGAAATATTTTGGTCAAAGCATTCTTCCTTTTATCACCTATCGGGAATGTAAGTTTTTAATGCATTTTGACAGCGCGTAGAGAAATTTCGTTCATTTAAAAGAACAAATACATCAAATTAAGTCATTTAACAAAATTTGAAAAGACGTTGTAATTCAAACTTGATATTATATTCTTGCATGCATGTATAATATAGCCTCGAATTTTTAATCGTTTTATATTTTCGTCTAATATAGGCTCAAAACGTGAATGGTTTGAGTCAAATATTTTTAATGAATATTCTGACCTGTGTGATAAGTACGAGAACGAATTATCAAGGTAACGAATTTTTCTGTTTGTAAATATCCATTTAGAGAAGGATAATTTGAGATGTTCTTTTACATTCCTCTTTAGTTTACCCTGGGTGAAAGAGTACTACATTGATGTCGCGAACGAACCTGAAAAATCTTGGCAAATCTACATCATCTGCGAAAAGAACAAAATACCATCCATGAAGGACCTGAAAAAGTTGTTTGGTGTCAACATTGCCTCATTTGTTGATTTTTGTCAGGAAAACGTCGATGAAAATAGTGAAACCAACGAGGAATCTCTTTTACAATCGTTTTCTCGCGAACCCATTTCAAGCGATGAGCAACTCGTGCAAGAAGAAGAAGAACAAGAAGAAGAAGAAGAAGAACAAGAAGAAGAACAAGAACAAGAAGAACAAGAAGAACAAGAAGAGTATGATTCACTTGGTATGTTTTGAGCTTCGGATAAACTATAAACCCTACTCAACCAATTACCATTGTGTATATTTCATAATAAAGTTGCCCAAAGATAACGTTAAAGATTTTGTTTGAACTTGCAATGATGAAGACACCAGCCTAAGAGACAAGGCCGGGCAGAAAAAATATACGAATATTCACTTCTCCCCAATTATCGCATATAGTTTCGGTCCTGCTCAGAGAAAAAGTTTTTCCGAAATGGAAAGATGTTGCCCAAAATGGAAACTCGGTAAACGAGATAAAATGCGGTTTATGATTTTTTAGGAAATAACTCAGCATTTCAAGACACTATTCTTCCAAATGGTTATCAAAAAGCTCTAAAACAGTAAGACTAGACTTGTTTCTGAATCTCTAACTTGACTGCATTTTTTTTTGTTCTGTTAACAAGCATGCTTGTATTGTTTGGGTCTCCATTTTAATGCTCCTTTCTTAATCGCTTGAAGGTTAGAATGGGTTCACAAATTTAAAATAGTTGATGCAAATGAAGAATGCGACAAACGTCATTTGGAGATCGTATGCAAATTTGGTAAAGTACCTCGTATCGCTGACATTGTGAAACATCTTGGTGAAGATAAGCTTCCTCTTACCACCTTTATTGAATGTAAGTCATAATGAATATATATTATAACAAGACGCCTGCTCAGGCGTATACACTGGCCTAAATTTACTAACCGGTAGCCTATAGAGTCGATATGCACGCGCACCCGCCGAAAAGAATAGTAATATATATGCAGTACCTAGGAGAGCGTACATATAGCATTCGCTATATTTTGGGGGTTGTGCGTTTGGGTTATGCGCCCCCCTCCCCCCCCCACCGCAAAAATCAAATCGTTTTTGTGGCATCGCTGGGCATTTTAAGACACTGGTCCTTACAGCCAGTCTCACTAAAGAGACGTAATCTTACAACCTCAACCTATCAACCACCTTACGACCCTAAGAATACATCCCCTAATTTTTCATCGTGTCATACTTTCTCGGATGCAGGCTCGAGTCGTGAATGGTTTGAGTCTAATATGTTTGACGAAGTTTCTGATTTGTACGATAAATACGAGAATGATTTATTGAGGTAACAAATTGATTTTGCTTTCCATTCTCCATTAAAGGGATTAAAAATCAACTGGACGCTTTTTTACGTTTTTTACCTTAGTTTACGCTGGGTGGAAGAATACTATATTGGTGTCGCGAGCGAACCTGAAAAATCTTGGCAAATATACATCACGTGCGCTAAAAACAAACTGCCATCCATGAAGGACCTGAAAAAGTTGTTTGGTGTCAACATTGCCTCGTTTGTTGATTTTTGTCAAGAAGACGTCGACAGAACCCCTCAATTTACTCGAGGACCGGCTTCAGGAAATGAGGTTTTTAACCCAGAATATAGAGTATTTAATCATGGTTCAATTGGTGTGGTATTTTCTGGTGAGAAGAACCACTACGCCACCACCAGCTATCATGTGTGTTACAATGGTAGGTTGCCCAAAGACATATCAAAGGCCCACCAGATTCTAAAGGACGACTGTGAAAATGGATCGCCTCGTTGTCAAGGGGTCACCTGTCTGTACGTAAACAGTGGGCGTTCCGTGGATCTTGGGAGTTTCAACTGTGGATTATACGACGACAACCATGATATTGCCCTCCTAGAGATGAACGAAAAATTAAATTGCTCCGATATGGTGAATTTCTTAAAGGGGTTAAATCTCAGACCTGATCTAGCCGATATAGCAGAAGTCAAAAGTATGTTCTACGAAGGGCATTTGCCTGTGGAAAGAGTTTCGCCAGAACCAAGAAGAGGAGTACTTTTCGGAATTCGTGCTGTAACACGCTGTCCTAGGTACAAACGTTGTTACAAAATTAAAGGAACAGAGCAAGATTCTTTTGCAAGTCAAGGTGATTCGGGTTCTTTGATTTATCTGATATACGAGAGGGAAAACATACCATTCGCTTATTTATCCTTTGCTCTGGATAATGTTTTTCATGCTAGAAATTTAAAGGAAAGTGTTAAAGAACTAGTAAAGCATAATGGGCGTGGGGATTTCATTAATGTTAACGCTTGTATTACTCAACATAATAATTTCCAAAATTAAGTTTTGAACTGGATTTATAACCAGCTGCATGTTTTCACAATCATACTTTATAGGTATGTAGGCACTTGCACGGTATTCGTATATTATATAATCTTGCGCACTACACCATATTCCTCAACGCTATAATTGATCTTTGCGTTACAAATGCCCCAACAAAGATCATAAATTCAGGTATAATTGATCTTTCCATAAGTGATCATGTTTTAGTTTATATGACACATAAGGTTCATTATAAGAAAGCGGAAGCGCGATTAGTTGAAATAAGGAGTATGAAAAATTTTCATAGAGGAAACTTTATAGGAGATTTAAAACAACAGCAATGGTTAGAATTAAATTTGTGCAATGAACCTAATGAAATGTGGGTAAGATGGAAAGGGATGTTACTTAATTGCATTGATAAACATGCTCCACTCAGATTAAAAAGAATTGGGAAAAAGAAATCCCCTTGGATAACTAATCAATTAAAACAAAAAATGCGCCAGAGAGATTTTTTGAAAAAGAAAGCAAAAATGACTGGAGACACATTGATCTGGCAACAATATAAATCATTAAGGAACTCTACGAATAATGAAATTAAAAAAGTGAAAAGTCAATATTTACTGATAACCTTGAGACCAACCAGAACAATCCAAAGTCAACTTGGAAACTTATTAATGAATTAAGCTCTCGTAATAATTCTAGTCATAAGACCATATCTAATATTACAATTGGCGAAGAAACAATAAATGCGCCTAAGGACATAGCCGAAATGTTTAATTCTCACTTTGCAAAAGTAGGTGAGAATTTAGCATCTGATATACCACCATCTGCTGTGGAACCGGAGGTTTATATTGAGCCAACTGAAACCACATTTCATTGACACCCCCACAATAAATACAGTTTGTAGTAAATTAAGAACGATTAACGAAAAGAAAGCATCAGGTCTGGATAAAATACCCTGCAAACTTTTAAAACTTGCAGCTGAAATCGTTGCCCCATCATTAACTCTAATATTTGATAAGATTATAACTACTGGCATATTCCCAACGGAATGGAAGTTAGCAAGAGTTACGCCGATTTTTAAGAAAGGTAGAAAAGATGATATGGACAACTATCGACCAATATCCGTAATTTCATGTGTTGCTAAGATTTTTGAAAAACTGATTTTTGATCAGCTATATGAGTATTTAAATGCTAATAATTTGATATCCAAAATTCAATCCGGTTTTCGATCATTGCACAGTACATTAACTGCCTTATTAGAAGCAACGGACAAATGGTCAATCAACATAGATAATGGCTTACTCAATGGAGTGGTCTTTATCGACCTCAAAAAAGCATTTGATACCATTGATCACACCATTCTCTTACGGAAGCTAAGAATATATGGTGTTGACCAAAGCGGCATCAAACTCTTTGAATCATATCTAAGCAACCGTGGCCAAAGATGTTGCGTAAATGGTGAATTATCTGAGGCTGTTAAAATAAGTTGTGGTGTGCCTCAAGGTAGCAACTTGGGGCCACTATTGTTTTTAATTTACATTAACGATTTGCCTAATTGTCTGGAAAGAGCCTCTCCGAGAATGTTTGCTGATGATACTAATATAAGTATTGCGGCAAAATCTGTAACAGAGCTTGAATCAATAATTAACTCTGAATTGAAAAATCTTAATCAATGGCTCATAGCTAACAAACTGAGTCTAAATGTCGCTAAAACGGAATTTATGATAATTGGATCTCGTCAACGGTTAATGATACACAATAATGAACAAATAAACATTGAAATTGACGGGAAGATAATCAAGAGAGTTAAAGATACGAAATCATTAGGATTACAAATTGATGAGCACCTAGTATGGGCGCGACACGTTGAAGGCATTTCCAAAAAGGTTGCGTCGGCAATTGGTGCTCTTAAAAGGATACGCCAGTTCATAGATACAAGCACTGCCCTCAAAATTTACGGAGCTTTGATTCAACCGTATTTTGATTATTGTAGTCAGTTTGGGATGGTTTAAATATCACGTTAAATGATAAATTGCAAAAACTGCAAAATAGAGCAGCGAGGGTAATTACCAAATCTGGATACGATGCAAGTTCCAGCGACCTTTTCACTAAACTAGGTTGGGACAATCTTTCGACACGCCGGAAAAAACACAAGGCTGTAATAATGTTCAAAATTCTTAACGATTTAACACCGAAATCTCCGTAATTTATTTGAATTCCACAGCACAGGATACAATTTGAGAAACTCTGAAAATGCTTTATTTGTACCAAAACCGCGAACAAATTATGCTAAACGAAGTTTTAGTTATAGTGGCGCGGTGTTGTGGAATGAGTTACCTCAAAATGTACGAGCATTATGCTCTCTTAACCAATTTAAAAGGGAGATTGACAACATTTTTTCCCTATAAAACAGACTCTCGCACGGCAATCTTGTAAATCAGTTTATATATCTGTATTTTAAATTGTATTGTATTGTGTTGTATTTAGTAATTTTGTCCCTAAATATCTAATGAATGTATATAATTATAGCCCACTTTTTATACTGTAGATTTTACCGTGCTTAAATAAAGTTTTGATTGATTGATTGATTGAATGCTATTTGTAAACCTATGCACAGGCATCTTTTTATTTTTACCTTACTTACTCGATAATGTTCTGGTATCGAATGAACACGTTCTGAGAGACTGAGACAAAATATGAAAAATAATGTAGCTATTTCTGCACAAACAACTAGTATGACGTGAACCATGCACTAAATAAGTCATAATAAATTAATAATCTTCACCGACAGTTTCTATATAATGGTCGTTGTTCAAACAATGTTCGCATGTCAATAAGGATAGCATATACAACCACTCATGTAGACGTTAATATACATATGAGTACATATATCTACTTAAAGTTAACAATATATATATAAAGTTAACTTAAAAACGCACTTGTTGTTTTCATAAAAACCATGTAATAGACACCAGCTTCCCGAATTTGTTCTCGGGCAATGAAAACCATCGCACCAATAATAGATTACATTGCCCGTCTCATTTCCAAGCTAATAGGGAGTTTAAGATCTACGACGCAGTTAGCTCGACGACGCTAGTCAATTATTTTGCTAGAAATAAGCTACGAGAAATTAATTATGCTGCCAGGACTTTGAAATATTCATACAAACGTTTCAATTGTGCTAAGAACCTCCGATGTCTAGCTGATATTGTAGTTTCATATAAGCTATTAAACAGCTATCACGTTGCCCCTGCTTTCATGTCATCGAGAAGCCGTGAAATTGCCTCATTTTAAGGCGTCGTAAGAATGACAACGCTGTCGTGGGCCACAAATTATGCATACTTATCACATGTGTCGCGTGTGATATGTCTTTGTTTTGCAAGCGCGTCGTCGTGAATCGTAAACCGTCGTCGTGAATCGTGAATCGTAAACGAGCCGCGCGTCGTGAATCGTAAACTCCCTATTTTTCTGTGTGCACTGAAGCAAATTCGGGAAGTGTCTGTTCAGTAAAGCTATATAATCATTAAACGATATGCAAAGAATATTCTTATTTTATCAAATTTTCTGCTGGTAAAGTAAAATGCTTCGGAAGCATAAAAAATTGTGCTAGACTTACGTCTTGTGGCTAGCTCGCAACTCGAAAACGTTAATGCAAAACGCAAGCCATGCATGCAGTAGAATTGGTGTACTCAATGTGAAATAACTTGCTGTTTTCTCAACTTCTTCATATCATCTTGACTAAGCGAGCTGATTTTGCAAATTTTGATTTCACGTTTTGTCGTTGAGAAGAACTATATCAGGTGATCTGAATACATTTTTTGCGCGCTTCGTCTTATAGGCTTTTCCATGAGGTCAAACGCCACGTCATAGCAATGCAAATCTTTCGTTGCTATGGGAGATTTTGTCAATTGATTTTTATGAGGGCGAGAGTGACGACGATTGCTGCTAATTTTTGGTATTTACCCGTTCAATCCGACACGAAAGTCCATAAAAATCGATTACCGAAAAAGGCAATGAGGTGCAATCATCTGTTCTTACGCACAACGCCTTTGTTCAAGGCACAAGTTTTACTAAATGACATAATACATCAATGGCAAGATGCTCTTCCTTTCATCACTTATCGAGAATGTAAGTTCTATAGTGAATATACTGAGCCATGCATGTATCAAGTTGAATCGGTCCTTTTGCAATTTATACAACCGTACACGTTTCTTGTATATATATATATATATATATATATATATATATATATATATATATATATATATATATATATATATATATATATATATTATAAGTATATATATATGTATATATTTATAACCAATAATCACTACGCGCCTTCATCGCAGTTGTTCGAGAAGGATTGACCGATCAGTTTTTCCACAGTGCATGTAATTAGTTTCCTACAGTATTTCTAATTCTTGTTTCAAATACACCTTATTCTGGTTCGATGCGGTTTGATCGCCACAGCGGTTTCGATATCTGTAAATAAAAACTGAAGATATAAAATATCTTTAGGATTAGATAATTATAGCTGCGCAAATTTCACAGTCAGGTTAATTATATCTCAAAAAGAACTAGAATAATTATACATCGAAAAATCTAGATAGTAAACAATATTCGCATCATTCTTTAAGTTTCAGCACTTACAGTTTGATCAGTCTGTACGAAAGTCAACGTCGTTTTAACAGTGAAAGAATTCCTATTTCAGTTATTTCATAAATATTTGATAATTTCGTACTGTTATGAACTGAAGAAAGGTATCATTGGGAAGCTGAATAACTGCTTTTTCATACTGCATAAGGATTAAGTCATGAAATTCAATAAATAATTCGTAATTGTCTGGTAATTTAATTTCGTGTTTTTTTGAGAGAGATCTTGTATCACGAATACAATTGGTAATTGTTATTAGTGACTGCATGACGTCGTCGCACCCAGACGATCTGGCTGCTGGGATTTTACTTGTTCTGCTTCTACGATTTTGTGATTTGCTTCGTTATTTAGATGAAACTTGAAAGAAAGATATTTCACTCCCGTGTGTTCATTTGATTCCACTACATGGCTGAGGTATGAACACGTGCACAACAACTCTGCAATATTGTGTAGAATGAACATTTGTGTTTCCGTGTAGTACAACAATTTACAATGATGATTATCCTGAATAATTTGTGCAGTATACAATCATAAAAGCAATCTATACACAACACATATATGTGTTGTGTATAGATTGCTTTTATGATTGCACTGATGAAAATTACAAGAATGTATGTTTGAATACGCAATCATTAACAACTAAATATTACAATAATATATAATCTTCTGCATATTATAATGGATATATAACCAGGGAGCAGCGTGGCAGCGTCTTCAAACAACTTAGCATCAAAGTGGTATAACCATTGCTTAAAATAGACAAAACACTTCTCGACGTCTCGACCTGAGGGTCTTCGTCAGGAGAGTTAAACGTCGAGAAGTGCATGATTTGTCTATTTTAGGCAGTTGTTATATACCACATTTGATGTAAAAGAAGTATATTTCATTCTATAATATGCCTCCCACACAATCCTATTATATATAATAATATATATATATATATATATATAATATATATAATTATATATATATATTATATAATAATTATATACACCCATTTGCAAAAACGTTGGCCGCAGATAGATAGATAGATAGATACTCGAAATCTAATTAGAATTGCATATGATTACATTTGCATGGGATTTCAATCATATTACACAACATATGCAATTCTAATTAGATTTCGCGTATCTATCTATATATCTATCTGCGGCCAACGTTTTTGCAAACGGGTGTATATATATATATATATATATATATATATATATATATATATATATATATATATATATATATGTATATACTTTCATTTGTTGTGCATGCATGTGCAGAAATAAATATGTATTATGTTACTAGATTTTTGTTTACGAGATCCTTTCTTTTCGTAAGGGTAATGATCTTGACGAGTCCATGGAATATAGACTGAAGTATATTTCTAAAGGACATTGGTTTTCTAAGATGATTGTTGATTATGACCAGAACGATGAAAGAGAACATTGTGAGGTCGAAGATAGCGAAAATTCTATTCTAATACCAAACAATGCTACCAACATTGAAGTTAAATTTCAAGTCATGCGCGGGCCTGGTATTTGGTGTGATGTAAAAAAGTACGATCGTTTCAAAAAATGTTGGGTGAAACCAACCCAGCCTCATATCTTCAAATACAAGACACCGGTGACTCGAACGTACACTTTGGCTGGAGGCTTGTATTATGAGGCTGTGATGAAGATCTTGGGGGAATATTTTGATGATATAAACGAATTTTGAAAGGATTTACCACATCAAGACATATAGGATCTAACCTGACGAAATTAAGTAAAAATGTTACTTATTATTAAACTATATATAGATTATCTCTTAATCTGTATTCAATTGTTTATCTAAGATTACTTAACACACTTCACACGATGCAACAAACTAGCTGTGAACGAGTTCTAGTCCTGTAGGCAATTCCAATTATATTGATTCATCCACTATGCAAAATTACAATAATATATATATAACCTAATATCTTTCGAAGTATACTTTATTTCGCTTTGAAAGTTATGTCAGAGCTATATAGTTCTTACAACTAATTTAAAAAACTTTCAAAGAGCTTTGACTATAGTTTCATAAAGAATTTCTAATTCGACAGCTCTCTGCATAAGCGTTGATTTAGATCCCGTTTATATACACGATGCCATTTTCATTTGATATTAAATTATGCCGTTTCGGCCTTGGCACCTTGCGTTTACACGATGCCGGCAAAAATTTAAACGGAAACGACACAAAATGAAACGTAGTCCTTATCGACGAAGTACGAAAACGGAATTCTTTTCGGTGCCATGTTTCAGTCTGGCAGCGATATTCTTGTTTAAAATCTTATTGGAGAGGAAATGCCACATGACGACCACTATACTAAGCGGAACATTTTCGAACCGCTGCAATTTGTGCACCTTTTCAAATTATGCTATATGCATATAGTCTTAATTATTGCTAAAATATATAAGCGCGGGGTCCCCTGGAAGCTAGTATGAAACCGAAAGTTATGCATATTTCAACCATCATTTATATTTCAACCTTGTTTTCAATTTGACCAACATACAGCAAATAATTAAAACAAACCTGCATGTGAACAATATAGTCTGATGCTTTTTTGGAATGTTCCTACCCCATGCAGTATAAGAACTCTGCTGAAGCTGGACGTCACGGGGTGCAATTAAAACCGATATAATTGAATCAAAATTGAGTCTCATTCTCTGCAGGTATTCGCAGATAAATTATATTGTATAAAGAGAATCAGGTTTCTAATTTTCATTCAAAACCTGCTTGATTCCGTTCTTGTGAGGTTGGCTCTGTTCTGGTATGTAAGTACTTCTTTTTACCTACATTTGTACTTTACATTTTTTCTGCAGGTACATGATACTAAATTATAAGGAATTTTTCTCAAATTTTGAGCTGCATGCGCATATCTGTCCTCAATCGAACTGATAAAGTTGATCAATATAACGTTTAAAATCTGTACCAATTCATTGTTAACTGTTAAAGTTGCACACTCAATTTTTCTTTTGGTATGTGAGAATATATCATATCTAGTATGTTTCTAATTCTTTATTTATAGAATTGCCTAAATTTTGTTTTCAAACTTTGGTCAGTCAACACAACGCTATGATACGCCTCTGTAAGTACAGTCCTTTCACGTTAGACAATATTGTGCAATTCCTTTTGACAATTTAATGCCAGAATTTCCTTGTAAATTTGAACATCAGTTGCAAGCGACTACGAATTATCTTTCAAAAAATAATATGCTGTACATATTCCCGAACAATTTCGCAAATGAAAATTTATTTTTTATAGAACGTCGTTCCGCTGTCTGCATGTATATCAGCTGCATTGTACTGACTATGCCGGTTCGCTGGTCAAAATATTGTTGGCCGTAAAATCGGACTTACAGAATAAAAGGTTTGTGTATTCAACATGCATTTACTTCCACGTCTTAAATAGTTTCAGTTGTTATCTAACAGTAACATAACTTTTGTATTAGCTAAAACCATAGCCTACCATGCATATCTGACTTAAACAGAGACGCGAACAACATTACGGGTATTCTGGTCCGCTTGAACTCAATTTTAGCAGTGTACCATACAGATTTTCCCGTTAGTTTTAGAAACACTATATACCATATAAATAATTACCTGCATGGGCAATATCTTCAAAAATATAGCTATAATATATGTTGGAATAGACTATAAACACAATTCGAAAGAATAGCGACATGTATACTATATTGTCCATATATAGTTAAACAGTGTTTTGATTTCAAATATACTCTTGAACTAGTCCGTATGTTATTAATGCTCATATATATAATACCGCGCGGCTGATATTGTTATGCACACTAGTTCATATTATGTGGAAGCAATGTTGATATTTAATAAGTGCTATAAAGTTCCTACAAATATCGAAATTTGACCATTGAAAAGTTGCATATCGCGGGGAAATGGTGAATCAGTGCAACTAGAGATAACAATACTTATATACTATAGGGTAACGAACAAGCCTTTATATTTATAACCCCTGTGTTCGATCCATCTTTAGTGCCTTTAACGCCAATACGACTTACGACAGTTACGTGTGTTAATTTAGCTATATATACCGTCGATTCTCATGCAACGAGCATAAACTGCAAAGGACAAGCAATTTGCTAGATGATAAGCATTTTCAAATTTAGCATGTTTTTTTAAAACCGTCACGTCTCACGGTTCAATTTATCAAACCCTTGTTTTCTTTCTATTTTGTACTTTTTAAACTTATTTCTATATATACTTAGTAAATAATCATGCACGCATCCTAAAATCTTAGTTACTGAAAGTTATGTATATGTATATAGTCTATATAGTTAATATGTATAGTTCCAAAAATCTTTGTACTGTGGCATGCACTTGACCAAAGCGTTTATACTATCATTTTGCGGAATGTTAACACATGCGGCATAAACCGCCCACATTTCCATTATAGTCCCCGCTTACGTATTTTACTTCAATATTCAGGTTGACTTTGCTTTGAAAGTGAAATTAGCGAGAAGACTTCTGATTTCTGGGGTTATTGGTAGCAGCTCTTATTTATTCGATATAATGACCAAGGGCGAGGTACGAATTAATTATATAACGAAAAAGTAAACGTTCAGTAAAATGTTCATTTCACTACCGACACATCGTGAGAATCAGGTATTTAAATGATTGAAAAATTAAAAAATTATGAGAAGAAAATATCCCTGTTTAATTAGGTAATTTAAAAAAACTTTGTCCATGCAATCTATGGTGTATGCAGCGCAGTAATAGAGCATTGATATTGTGGGGGGAAATTAAAAAGGGGTAATAAATACGTTTCATTTTTTTCAAAACTTCTATCCAGATAATTTTACAACTTCTCGGTTTTAATGACGCAAAAATTGCAAATGGTTATATAATACTTCATGAATTAAATCTATCATATGTTATTAAACAAAAATTCACATTTTACTGACTGGGAAAAGGGATATTCGATTGGACGGTTGAACCAGGGAAATTGTTTTTTCCATTGTAATGATGCTTTCACTATTCACGAGTATATAATAATCGGTACACTTGTTTTTATCTTTATTTAAAAGCAATAAGTTAAACAAATAATGAATATTTTGATTGGTGCAATGTAGTATGAATATTTTCACTCGACTTCGCCTCGATGAGTGATGGAATCATGGAACATTGCAACTTTCACCTCATGCAAATATCCAATTCCATAGGATAATTACAAAATCTCTTCTCGTGTAGAATATTTTCAGGCGAGCTGCAATAGCAATTTTTGCAATACTCCGGGCGAAATTCCATGACAACGGAGAAACAACAGGCATGGCTGATCAATCCAAAAATGGTAATGAAGTAGCTGATGAAATGGGGTCCGAATTTGACAGCAATGAGAATCAGTGTTCAAGAGAATGGAATGAAAAAATATTCTTGTTTTTTTTGGCTCTTCTCATAATGGTTGCCGTTGTTTTAACAATCATAACAGCAGGAATGGCTGCACCCACTATTCTTGGGGTGATGGCCGCATTGAAAGTCTTCAACCGTACATCGACAGAAAAAGACTGCTCTTTCCATTACAACTTTCCAGGTTTAATTTGCGCAGACGTAGAAGCAAGAGTAGTTGGTATGGCGGGTGAAGCAGATGATCTTACATTGACAATTGCTAAACCTTCTCTGGAACGGCAAATTATTACAAGAATCACCGTAACAGGTTTTCCGGGCTTTATCGCATCCCTTAATAGTAATCTAGACGCAATCCTTGCTAAAAAACAGAAAAATAATTGGAAACGATTTATTTTGCATGTTTTACTTGATGCATGGCTAAGAGGAATTGTCAGGTTACCTGGAAGACCTAAAGAAAGCATCAATCGAAACGTAGTTACTGTAGAAGAAGTACTGACAGCACTAAAAACAGTCCCTTCTGGCGCTGGTATTGAAGCGACAACGGAAATAGCAGTGAAAACATTTGCAGACTTTGTCGAGAAAAGTTATGATGACTACATGGAAAAAAAATCATTAATAAATCTTATAATAGATGGTGCCATGGAAGCTGCATCAGCAGTTCGTGTTAAAGTTGCAAAGGATGTCGATAACAATGAAAAGAACGGCACGACACAGGCAAGTGATAAAATCAACATGTTAAAATAATATAAAAAGATTAACTTTTTATTAACCGAGTGCGAGGTCTTTACCGAGAGATATCGGACCAAGGTCTCGCTGAGCTCCATTTCACCGGAAGTGACGCTTGTCATATAATATTGGAAACGAGTTATTATTACTTACTTACTTAAAAGCGATTAATTAATTAGCGAACAATTGGCCTTCACAAGAAAAATTTTATATGATGAGAGATCTTCCTAAACAAAGCAGCTAAAGCAGCACTTCTCTTCTAATTATAAGATAAATTTTCCTGACAAAGTCATTTGGTGACAAAGCCATAAGAAAAATTAATTTACATTTGGTAAATTCGCCATCAGAGTACATAAATAAATATATTTAACATATCGAGATTGCTCATTAACATTTTTCACGATTGTCCTTTACGATATAGCTTACAAATTCTCATCTTTCCATAGGGTGAACAATTGAAATCAATTGTTGTTGCAAACAAATCCACCCATGCGGTCACCTTGTTCATCCTCGCAAACTGGACTAAAAGTCATATTTTTTCGCTGAGTATAATTATAGAACGAGGTGATAGCTTCTTATTTCAAAAGGAAGAAGCATTTCGCTTTGAGCTCGGGGCTCGCCGTGATGGGAGAAAATTGGAGACATTTTTCCAGTCGAAAGAGTGGGAGAAAGATACAATCCTTCGAGTCAGTGGTCGTGATCAATTGGAAGTAGAACAAGAAGAGTTGCCGTCTATGGAAAAACAAATTTGCATTCGGCGTCAAAATATGAAAGAGGACGTTTCAGCGTCAGGAAACAAGAATCTGTACGAAATCCTTGCTCTAAATATGAAAGAAGTTCGTAAAAAGCCATTCGAAGAACAGCAGCATATCATAAAGAAAGCTTATCGTTCTCAATTGCGGCGTTGGCATCCTGACAAGAATCCTGAGAATGGTGACAATGCTATATGTCGAGAAATCATCTTCGCGTACGAGATTCTCAAAGATCCCGAAGCCCGAGCCGCGTACAATAACGTCGCAGATTATGACAGGGGATGGTTATCAAAGGCGCGATGGAGAGCTGTTTTCAATCCCGAATGTTACAGCGATGCGCAAAAGTCACAATATCGAAAGAGAATGGGATTGTTGTTTTTATCGGTCATTCTTACAGCAGGTGGCGTCGGGTTAACATTCCTAACTGTAGGAAGTGCCGCACCAGTTGTACTTGGAATAATAGCTGCATCAGGGGCTCTTATGGGAGGAGGGATTTCAAGTGGATTAAAGACAATAAATCGTGAATCAATAAAAAACGGCTGCCCGCTAAGAACGTACGTTTTAAGTTTTATCGTTGGTGCTGTTAGTGGAGCAGCCTTGACAACGGGAGTAGCTGGAGTGGCGGCGTTTATGGGTGGAGCTGCGAAGATTGTATTTAAGGTTGCTCAATCTTCTCTGGAAGACCAAATTTCTGTGAGGATTGCCACCTCAGCTTTTCGCTGCTTCATTAAAACCATAACTAGTAAACTAGACGCAATTATTGCAGGTGGACCAAAAATGACCTGGAAACAATTTATTTTACACGTCTTAACGGATGCCCTGCTCGGAGGGGTTGCTGGTGTACCAGGAGGGCTGACAGAAAACATGATACAAGACGTGGTTTCTGCCGAAGAAGCACTGGCAGCATTTGAAACTTTTTCGTCTCATGTTGGTGACGGCGTTGAGAAATTCACATCATTAGCAGCGGAAACGTTTTTTGAATATGTGAAGAAACATTACGATGACAACGGTGAAAGTACAGATATTTACGATGACAACGGTGAAAGTACAGATATTGCGATTCTAATGCAAAATGCGGGAAAGGAGGCTGCGAAAGAAGTCGCTAGAAGAGTCGAAAAGAAATCCAATGGCTCAGAAAACATGATACAAGACGTGGTTTCTGCTGAAGAAGCACTGGCAGCATTTGAAACTTTTTCGTCTGATGTTGGTGACGGGGTTGAGAAATTCACATCATTAGCAACGGAAACGTTTTTTGAATATGTGAAGAAACATTACGATGACAACGGTGAAAGTACAGATATTGCGATTCTAATGCAAAATGCGGGAAAGGAGGCTGCGAAAGAAGTCGCTAGAAGAGTCGAAAAGAAATCCAATGGCTCAGGAAAGACAACGGAGATGAATGGGAAATCTAACAAGAAGTCATTTGAAGAAGATGAAACGAACTCGAGTGGTGAAAACAATGACAGGAATGCAGCCACTGAAAGTATTGGTGTGAGAGAATTGGATAATCAAAAATGTAGTAAAAAAAATGGCAGCTCAAATGGATCAGAAAAAACAAACCAAGTAACTCAATCATTACCGGACGGCAAACACAAACTACAGTATATTTCTGATGGCGTTTGGTTTTCAAAGATGATTGTTGATTATGAAGAGAACGGTAAAAAGATACCTAAGGCCGAGGTTAAAGGTAGTGGAAGTTTGATTTGGATACCGAGCAATGCTACCAACATTGAAGTTGGATTTCAGGTCATGCGCGGGCCTGGTGTTTGGTGTGACGTAAAAAAGTATGACTTTTTGAACGACTGTTGGGTGAAACCAGCCCAGCCTCATATCTTCAAGTACAAGAAACCAGTGAGTTGCACGTACACTTTGGCTGGAAACTTGTACTGTGAGAAAGTGGTAAATATCACAAGGGATGAACTCGATGAAAAGTATGATAAAATTCCTGAATACAAGGACTTGATAGATGAAATAAATGATGAAACCACGGAACCCGGGAGACACATATTACAGTTTATTTGTGAAGGACTTTGGTTGGTTAGGATGCTCGTTGATTATGAAGAGAACGGTGTAGAAAAACATTATGAGGTTGAAGATAGTAAACAATCCATTGAAATACCAAACAGTGCCACCAACGTGAAAGTTCGTTTTCAGGCCACGCGCTTTCTTCCAGGAATTTGGTTTGATGTAAATAAGTACGACCGTTTCAAAGAAGTTTGGATAGAACCAACTCAGCCTCATATTTTCGAGTACGATCAACCGGTGAGTCGCACATACACTTTGGCTGGAAACGCGCTTGGCCATCTGGCTGTAATTAAGATGGCTGGAGACTGTGATGACGAAATATCTGATATTGACGATAAAACTGCGTGCACTGAGGAAAATGACAGCTTGAATGGGTCGGAAAAAACAAACCAAGTGAGACAATCAATATCGGATGGTAATAATGATGAAAAGAACGACGGGGCAGAGGCAAGTGATAAAGTTATTAAAAATCAACATGTTATAATTATAACACGTAACAAATAAGCGATTAAATAACTCGCGTACAATTTGCCTTCGGGAGTAAATTTTATACGGGGGAGGTGAAATATATCCGGTATACGGGTACGGGTAGCCTTATTTTGTTAACTGAATTCCCATCAGTGTTTCTCAAATTTTTCGAAGATTACCTCGACAATTCTTTTCCAGTAGACTTTAGCCTGTTGAGGCAAGCGTGATTTGTATGATGAAACGTGCAAACAACACGAAATTCAAATGAATAAGATATGGCTACCCGTATACCGGAACCGGGGTATCTTAAACTCTCCACTTATAAATGTTGCGGGGTAAGGGTGGGCGTAAAACCACCCAGAAACATTGGAATGTGCATGGCAAACTGACAGGCAAAGTGAGGAAAATTTTTATCGAAATGTATCTATATTCGGACTATTTTTGTTTAAATCAGTGATGCGTTTGGCAATATCTAATTACGCTTTACTTTTCAACAATAATGCATGCTCGTGCATCAACATTTTTATTATATTGGATATCATAACACTTCTCAATATAGGGCGGACATTTGAAGTCGATTCTGATTGCCAACAAGTCACCTCATGCGGTAACCTTGTACATCTTCCCAAGTTGGACTAAAAGACATTTTTTATTGGAAAGTTTCATTGTGGAGGGAGGTGAAAACTTCTTATTTCATAAAGAAACAGCTTTTCGATTCGAGCTCACAGCACGCCGTAAAAAAAAGAAAATTACTATTTGGGGTCCAATGATGTGGGAAAGAGATATGGTGCTTCGAGTTAGCGGCGATGATGGAATTAATTTGAGAAATGAGGATTTGCTGTTCAAAGACAAACAAATTTTTTTACGTCGAGAAAATATGGAAGAAGATGAAATAAATTATGAATCCACGGAACAATCAAATGAATCAATATCGGATGGTAATAATGTTGAAAAGAACGACGGGACAGAGGCAAGTGATAAAGTTATTAAAAATCAACATGTTATATCTATAACACGAAACAAATAAGCGATTAAATAACTCGCGTACAATTTGGCCTTCGGGAGTAAATTTTATACGGGGTATATAGTAGCTCTTCTTCTAAGATGGCTGATATCCCACCATGTTAATGTTACTTGATTATCGTTATATGGGGTATATATGGCATGTCATATAGACCTACGGTATTTATAGTGTTTTATAATTTACATATTATATATTTACATATTAACCTATCAACACAGGCAACGTGAGTTTTCTGAAATTTTTGTGGAATCATACAAATATTGTGTTGATTTTGCCTGATTTATGCCAAATCAAACTTAAATTAATTTGGCACAGTTCGCTATCATAAATATGTAATATATCAGTAAAATATAAGTATCCTTTATAGCTTACAAAATCTCATCTTTCCATATAGGGTGAACTCCCGATAGTAGCAACAAAAACGTTTGCTGACTATGTCGAGGAATTTGAAAGTACAGACATTACGATTTTAACTCAAAATGCGGCAAAGGAGGCTGCGAAAGAAGTCGCTAGAAGAGTCGCAAAGAAATGCAATGACTCGAAGATGACCAAAAAGCAGAACGAAGCAACTAATGGGTTTAATGAAGTAGCTAAGGATAAAGAAAAGACAGACACAATGAACTCAACTACTGGAGCTGCTGAAGAAAAAGAAACGAACTCGAGTGGTAGAAACAACGACAGGAATGAAAAAAAGACATGCAATGGTGGTATTGGTGTGAGAGAAATGGATACTCAGAAGCATAGTGATAGAAATGGTGACGACGAAGTATCCGATATTGACGATACTGACACCGAATGCACTGAGGAGGATACCAAGCTATAATTCAACCCAAGGCATTTTAAGTAATTATTTTAAGTTATCTATTGTATAAATTTGACCTTATAAAAGTTATAATGTATACACCTAAGAGTTTGTTTCCAGCAGGATAGTACATAGCTATAACTGGCTATATCTCAAAAACAAGACTGAAAGTATAGGTCTATGAATGCTTTTTTAATTACAACTTTTCCTACCCTATAATATTTTTCATAATTCGTATATCGCCAAAGGCATTGAGTATAACAATGATTAAAAAATTTACACTTACATAACTGCAGCTATATTAAGGACTTTTGCAAACATAGAATTAGATGTATCTATAATTCATGCACAGATAACTAAAATTGGCTTAGGAATACGTTTAGGAATTAAAAGATTGCCACCATAATAAGAGCAAAATATACTTGTCCAAAATTTTAGCCACTATTTTTGCGCCAAATGTGAAGAATTATGAAAAAACATTTTGCCTGCATGTCAGACAAGTGGCATAGCGTAAAATCGAGTTTTACGGCGCAGATCAATCTCGTTCCCCGAGCCCGCGATTCCTCTGTCGAGAAAACAAAGGCTCTGGGATAATCCAAACCGGAAGCCAGAAATTCTCGTTTCCGGCAGTTTGTAACGGTTTATTGTATTTCAAAATCCAAACGGAATCAGAATAATTTCCGATTTCGATTATCCCAGAGCCTTTGCTTTTTCGCCAGAGAAATCGCGGGCTCGGGGAACGAGATTGGGCGCAGATGTGACACGAAAACAGCCACTTGTGTTATAGGAACCCAGTTTTAATTTCTGTTACCCACGGCTCTGATTCTGCTTACCAAAGGGAGTCTATTATCTATGTGTAACTGTTGCAACTTGCAACCTGTGCATTGAAAACGGGCTGCCCGATGGTTAAGGGAAAAACCGACAGCGACGGGTTTGCGAAGTAAATAATTTATTCATTTTGCTCTTATATTGTTCTTTGACTGTGATTGCATTGTTGACAAGAATGATGCTTTTGCATTCATTGGCTTACATGCAGTTCTAAGATAAAAAGAAATACTCTTTATGTTGAAAATATTTATCATCATGAGCTACGAGATGAGGCAATAAAGAGATTTGATGAGCGTTTAGCAGAGTAAATCAAAAACTGCGAACTAAGATTGTTTATATAACGAACGAGAATAAGAATACTGAGGTTCTACTGCTTTTCATTATATGACGACTTCGAGCGGAGATGATGCAGTTTGATGACTAAAATGTTCTTGAGGATTCAAACCGTTGAAATCACTAAATTGAATATAAGCATTCCCCATAGTCCTGAGTCTGGTACATAGGAACGTAAATTTAAACAAGTCTAATAGAGATGTTTCACTTTTTCATCGTGTATAATGTTACTACCATATTCGACGCCCATCATTATATTTTTGTCTCTCCAAACAATGCCAAATTGCACCAGCTGCATGTGGTCTGTGTGGCTTTTTGAGAAAAGGTAATTAGCTTCTCTACAGGCATATGTTAATAAAATATTGTTACTCGTTACTCAAAGAGACAACCCGAATCTGGTGTTAAGAGGTCGTCAGCACAGTCCCTTTAACATCTGTAAGTACGAAGTACATTATTAGATATTTTGATTTAAATATGTGATTGATTTGAAGTAAACGATACTTTGCGAAAGACTTTTATTTAACAAATCAGTAAACTTTCTTATACAGCAACATATAATATATCGCAATTATGTATGGCGTAATTTGATTACCACGAATACCACTGTCTATATCTCCATCTTACCATACAACTGCTACTAATTGCTACTAATCTGTATACCCTGCACGATTTTATTCAAATCCTGTTTTATTCAAGAAATTGTATTTTGTCGAACGGACATGTACATCTTCATGCCTGAGCGATGTGTTTACAGACACTTTTCTATCTTTTCCACGGCAAGTAAACATTATTTTGTTAACTTAAAGTATCTTCTGCCAGGAAAGGTTTAGGATATAATCAAATGCAATGCTTCTTTGTTGGTCTTGGACCAAATTTCGTCGTCACGACGCAGCAAATATATCTTGATAAGGATCTGGTTTTAATGTGACATGATTAATTGGGTAAGTCATTATTAGTCTTCATATGCTACATGCAATAAAATATGCAAAATAAACAAGTTCATATAGAGAAATTTTCATAAAGAAACCTAACAGACGTAAAAAAAACTGCGAAGATTATTTTATGTGCCGGCGAAACTGCATGTATGGTATTTATAACTTCGCAATATAACATGAGCAGTTTCACTTTCGGTTCATTTTGACATTGACATTGAATGTTATTATGGCATCCTGCAGGGCAGTTTTAATGCAATTAAAATTTGCACAAAAATGCAGGTGTAATTATTATCAGTGCACCACGCAAAAGACCACCAACAGGCAACAGATTATCACAAACGTTAAATTCCTTCTAGTAATCAGCACTCACGAATTTGATGTCTATAAATATATCCTGTTTTCATTAGCTGCAGAAACGATCGATCATTAATACTCTTCTTTGTTGTTCTCCAACGCTTTACGTATTTTTTATGTGTAGATTTGCCGCTGGAAGATAAAGCAACAAAACAAGTGAAAAGGCTTTTGATCAGTTTGAGGATATTAAAGATTTTGCTTAATTTTATATCATGGCCGAGGTATGAATTGTTGAGAAGGTTTAGCGTAGATTTATATGTAGGCCTATATACACTAGTTTTGACCACTGTTTAAGTGCATTTAGAGGCACGATGGAAGTGTATACGTAAAATGTTTTGAATCAAGAATCAATAAGCAAGCGTATAGATGCATGTCATACGGTCACGGTCGAACGTGTTGTTTTGTCTTTGCTGAATATGCTTCATATCATATACTTAAACTTAAACCACATTAAACTTAGGCTATTTAAACATTTCTTGATGTTTTGTGACTAGGAAATTCTTTCCATTAACTCAGCTATATATAAGTTCAATTTACTGTTCACCTGCATGGCTACATAGTAGAGAGGTTAAGATACCCCGGTTCCGGTATAAGGGTACGGGTAGCCTTATTTTATTGACTGAATTTCCATCAGTGTTTCTCAAATTTTTCGAAGATTAACTCGACAATTCTTTTCTAGCAGACTTTAGCCTCTTGAGGCAAGCGTGATTTGTATGATGAAACGTGCAAACAACACGAGATTCAAATGAATAAAATATGGCTACCCGTACCCGTATACCGGAACCGGGGTATCTTAACCTCTCCACTTATAAATGTTGCGGGGTAAGGGTGGGCGTAAAACCACCCACAAACATTGGAATGTGCATGGCAAACTGACAGGCAAAGTGACGTCTCGAAGACGGTTTGGAGTTTGCAGAGATTACCCCTTCGCTTAAACCGGTTAAAGAACCAAGAAAAGACAATAATATTTATGAAATTGAGATTACCGAGGTTGATCGCGAGAGGAAAAATGTCCGTATTCATTATAAAGGTTATGATTCAAAGTTTGACGAGCGCTAGCGGCGACCTTATGGCAACGATCAGGAATATTTCCCCTTTATTCGCTATGAAAAGCTGTTCGTCCCGACGGCAACATCCTTAGAATATAGAAGCAACATTTTACGGATATGCTTATTATTAATTATTATTAAAAATTTTATTTACAGACACTAGCCCCGTCAGTTACCACTGATTTCCACGGAGGGCGTCTACTAATTATGGGCGTCTACTTAATTACACTATACAAATATAAACTATATAAATAGCAGATTTAACTACTCTAATTATGAGCCTCTTGAAACAATGAATCGATTGAGCAGACTAGCTTCACGCGAAAGACTATCCATAATACAGCTCCTATATTAAAACTTCTTTGAGAAACTCTTTCTAGGTCTCGGGATTGATAGATCAGTATCGAATGTCTCAGGTTAAACCATTCAATTACACTACGCTCAGAAAAGGATTCGCGAAGGCACGGAGCAGTACCGTATTTAGGATATTATAACGAGGACTGCTTTGTTAGTTTATATTAGTTCGAGATTTTTCCATCTCAGCTGCTCCAGGAGTTCAGAGGAGCTTGTATGGTAGTCTGCCCCCGTTAACACCCGAGCAGCCTATTTTGAAATTTTGCAACTTTTCTTCAATAATAGACCGCAATTGTCCCAAAGAGGGAACAAAGTCAAAGTATGGTTGAATTAAAGCTTGTAAATGGTGCATGGTTCTTTAGGAACAAAGGGTTAACTCGTCTCATTACACCTATTCCCGCGCCTACCTGCTTATGCATTATATGGGCTCCCAAAGTTGTTCATCAATCTCGACGCCCAAACATTTAAAAGATCTATAACGGGTTACTGGTACATTTCCAAAGATCACTGACTATTTCCTAGTTATTTGAATGTTAACGAAGAGCCTACAAACAAAAGTTTAGTTTGGTAGTATGATGTTGCAATTATCACTAAGCCATTTACTGATATTTTTAAATCAGAGTTCAACATGTCACAATTCATCAAAGTTAAAGTTATCCGACGACGCAAAGATTGAGTGTCGCTGCATATATCCAGGGGTAGTAATTTAGGTACTCGAAAGTCATTGATATACAGCAGAAACACAAGGGGACCCAGAAGGAACCTGGGGAACTCCACTATATCTTTATACTTCCGCTTTAACTGACTTCCGTTCAATTTGGCATATTTGTAGGCAAAAATGAAATTTCAACCCCATAAGTCCGACTTCGCAAAAAGATAAATTAGTTTAAATCCCTGTAAAAACATTACACATATGTTATATTTCGAATTCCGCAGGTACCTCTGTCACAGGTTAATGCGCGAGTGTAGAAGCAAAAAACACAAAATTCGGCAAATTTCTATTGCGTCTCAACCGGAAGTCAGCGCCCGTGTAATGCGATAGACCTTTTGTCCTGAGTGAGTTGATAGATGTGTCGATATTAGATGAAACTTGAAAAGAAAGTGGGAAGATTCAGAAAGATATTTCACTCCCGTGTGTTCATTCGATTCCACGGCATGGCTGAGGTATGAACACATGCACAACAACTGTGCAATATTGTGTAAAAATGGTTGCGCTGATGAAAATGTATATTGAATAACCCAGTGTATATTCAATACACAATAACAACTAAAATACTACCCATCTTAATACATATATGTATTATTCAATAATCTGCCTCTCACCCAATCCTATATAGATCTTTATTATACCAGCATAAAATATTCCTGAAAACAGAGTGGGAAAATTCTTATACTAAGTATTACAATCCATTGTTTATATCCAGATCGGCAACTTCATGGCACATGCATGTGCATATAAAATAAATATGTATTATGGTAAAATTTTGTTTACGAGATCCTTCTTTTGTAAGGTAATGACTTGACGAGTCCACGGAATATAGACTGAAGTAATTTCTAAAGGACATTGGTTTTCTAAGATGATTGTTGATTATGACCAGAGGGGTGGAAAAAAACATCACGAGCTCGAAGATAGCGAAAGTTCTATTCTACTACCAAAGGATGCCGCTAATATCGAAGTTAGCTTCAAAGTCATGCGCGGGCCTGGTGTTTGGTGTGATGTAAAAAAGTACGACCGTTTCGAAAAATATTGGGTAAAACCATCCCAGCCTCATATCTTCAAGTACAGATCACCAGTGACACGCACGTACACTTTGGCTGGAGGCTTGTATTATGAAGCTGTGATGAAGATCACAGATGATCATTTTGATGATGTGAACGAATTTTGAAAGGATTTACCAGACTAATTAAGAAATAGGATTTGACGAAATTAAGAATGTCACAGTTGATAAAAAAGATAGCTGATCTCTGTAATTAGTTACGATGACTTTTTACACTTTAAGGTAAACACCCAGCACACAAACTAGCTGTAAACGAGTCCTTTAGTCTTATAGGCAATTCCCATTATAAAGTTTATCCACAGCAATTTCTTTCACAGGTATATTATTCCTTGTAGAACGAGACAGTCATTTTATACACAATATTGCATTGTCTGTAATATAATCTATAAACACTGCAATAAACACTGCAGGATGGTTTTCTGTTTTGACAACACTTCTGAGTGCTGATTGGCTAAATATGCCGCGCGAGATCACCTGGAAACTAGTATGAAACCGAAAGTGATATATCATTTCAACAAACATTGAAATTTTAATTTTTCTTAATTTGACCAACGTATGCCGCAAAGCATACTGTAGACAATGGAAGTCTATATTTGTTGAAAAAGACTCTGATCCTTTATTGGAATGTTAACAATTTGAACAAAGAAAACTCTGTCAGAGCTAGACATCACGGCGGTGAGCAATTTGAAATCAATTGAATCAGATAAATAGTTGCTCTGCAGGTGCTCAACGGCATTGGGCTATTCCATTTAATATGCGTACCCCCCCTATCGAGGACACTGGAAATCCTCAGGTATTTGACTGTGTTCAGCCTGGAAATCCTCAGCGTGTGGGTAGTTTCCAGTCTGGAAATCCTCAGGTGTGGGTAGTTTTCAGCCTGGAATTCCTCAGGGTAAGCATATTATAAGGCTGGAATTCCTCAGGGTAAGCATATTATAAGGCTGGAATTCCTCAGGGTAAGCACTTTATCAGGCTGGAATTCCTCAGGGTAAGGGGTAAGCATATTATCAGGCTGGAATTCCTCAGGGTAAGGATATTATTCAAGAGGAATTCCTCAGGGTAAGCATATTATCGACCAGGAATTCCTCAGGGTAAGCATATTATTGACCAGGAATTCCTCAGGGTAAGCATATCAGGCTGGAATTCCTCAGGGTAAGCATATTATCGACCAGGAATTCCTCAGGGTAAGCATATTATCAGGCTGGAATTCCTCAGGGTAAGCATATTTTCACACTGGAATTCCTCAGGGTAGGCATATTATCAACCTAAAATTCCTCGGTGTAGGCATATCATCAGGCTGGAATTCCTCAGGGTAGGCATATTATCAGGCTGGAATTCCTCAGGGGCAGACGTGCTGGAGACCATGTCCTCGATAGGGGGGGTACAAATTTTAAATGGAATAGCCCATTATATCAATATTTTGAAGCTACTTTCCAGTTGACATTTTAAGGAGGCTTAACAAGGAGGTTAACACAACGACTTTGATGTCTCTGTAAGTACTTTCTTCACGTATACATTCAATTTCCTTTGCCTGATTTCTTAACCGCTTGAATCTGTTCTCACAGTCAATGATCGAGGTGATCACTATATAGCAGCTTTTATATCTGTATGTACTGACTGCATGTATAAGTTTATTTTTTACATTTTCAAAATATACAATTAGAGATTATATAGAGCATTTTTCGCATTCTTTATACATATAGCCAATGTTTAAATCTGGTTTGAAGAGGTTGATCAAAACAGCGGCGATGTATAAGTACAAATTCAACATATATTAAACAGTTTTTTGACGTAAGATAAAAGATATTTGTACACTCGATAAATTGATTACCTTCTCTGTTTAATAATCTATTACATCAATTAAGCCCCGCATGCATATTACCAAACATTTTGCTTTAGTTGAAAAATTGCTTTTTATATATTATAGAACGTGAACTCAGATTTTATATATACTACACTGGATTCGCTGATTACGACGTCACATAACTTTCCTAAAACATCTTCGAGATAAAAGGTTTGTGCAACCAAAATTCACTTGTACGTATCTATCATAGTTTTCAAGCTGTTCTCCGTGAGGCGAAACCTCTTGAAAGAAGTCGTATCGACAAAGATTTTTTTATGACACCAATAGAACTTCTACAAATACAAATACAGGTCATCAACACTGGTCGCTTGAAGCGCTTCGATAAGTCAGAAGTACATTCGATGCAAACAAAGCGTTCAAAATTTTCCATTATACCAAAAGTATATCTTTTCCAATGATGCATGATGCATATGACTTAGGTGGATTGTATATATATATGAATTGTGTTAGTGTCACTCTCGGATGAAGCCGTGATAAAGCTATTTTTTCAACCTTTACTGCATGGCTATAACTTAAACTCACTTCACAAAATTATGGAATTGCCTGTTCCATTTACTTCTCGTAAGGATGTACGTTATATTTGTGTAGTGCGAAACACCGAAGTGCTCTCTATAAAATGATCCTCGCGTTAAATTATATAACTTGCCTCCCAGTACATGACTCTGCCTTGACGCTCTTCTAGCTATATATACATGCATGTTTTTTGTGCGTATACTGCTTTTATAATTAGGGCGCTAATACTTCTGTCACTGCATGCAACATGTCCTCAACTATAACTATTCCACAGTGAATGACATGAAATTAACAGTCATCAAAATATCCCGTATATATGATGAATACCACTATATATAATGTGATAAACACTGCAGAACAACCCTTCTGCATGATGAGTGCTGATTGGCTAGAATATGAGCGCGAGTTCACCTGGAAACTGGTATGAAACTGAAAGTGATAGTATAATTTCAACAAACATTGAAATTTTAAGTTTTCTTAATTTGACCAACATATACCGCAAAGCATACTTGTGAACAATGGAAGTCTATATTTGGTGAAAAATACTCTTAACCCTTAGTTAAATGTTCACAATTTGAACAAATGAAACTCTGTCGGAGCTTGACGTCACAGGAAGCAATTGAAAATCAATTGAATCAGATAAATAGTTTCTCTGCAGATGCTCAACGACATATTATATCAATATTTTTAATCTATACTTTTCAGTTCACATTCAAATGAGATTTGGTTAACACAACGACTTTGATGTCTCTGTAAGTACTTTCTTCACGTATACATTCAATTTCCTTTGCCTGATTTCTTAACCGCTTGAATCTGTTCTCACAGTCAATGATCGAGGTGATCACTATATAGCAGCTTTTATATCTGTATGTACTGACTGCATGTATAAGTTTATTTTTTACATTTTCAAAATATACAATTAGAGATTATATAAAGCATTTTTCGCATTCTTTATACATATAGCCAATGTTTAAATCTGGTTTGAAGAGGTTGATCAAAACAGCGGCGATGTATAAGTACAAATTCAACATATATTAAACAGTTTTTTGACGTAAGATAAAAGATATTTGTACATTCGATAAATTGATTACCTTCTCTGTTTAATAATCTATTACATCAATTAAGCCCCGCATGCATATTACCAAACATTTTGCTTTAGTTGAAAAATTGCTTTTTATATATTATAGAACGTGAACTCAGATTTTATATATACTACACTTGGATTCGCTGATTACGACGTCACATAACTTTCCTAAAACATCTTCGAGATAAAAGGTTTGTGCAACCAAAATTCACTTGTACGTATCTATCATAGTTTTCAAGCTGTTCTCCGTGAGGCGAAACCTCTTGAAAGAAGTCGTATCGACAAAGATTTTTTTATGACACCAATAGAACTTCTACAAATATACAAATATCAGGTCATCAACACTGGTCGCTTGAAGCGCTTCGATAAGTCAGAAGTACATTCGATGCAAACAAAGCGTTCAAAATTTTCCATTATACCAAAAGTATATCTTTTCCAATGATGCATGATGCATATGACTTAGGTGTATATATATGAATTGTGTTAGTGTCACTCTCGGATGAAGCCGTGATAAAGCTATTTTTTCAACCTTTACTGCATGGCTATAACTTAAACTCACTTCACAAAATTATGGAATTGCCTGTTCCATTTACTTCTCGTAAGGATGTACGTTATATTTGTGTAGTGCGAAACACCGAAGTGCTCTCTGTAAAAATATAAAATGATTTTATATTTTAGTGTAATGGCTTCACTCGTTAAAACCTTATTATCAATGAAACTAGGATACTTTTTTTTAGACATCCGGTAGTATAGAGACCAAATAAAGGGTATAAATTATCGAGTATAAATTATTTATCATAGTGTAATTTCATGCATTTCGTATGTTTAGAAACCAAATCATAATAGAAACCAAAGCAGTCAGTATTATTATTTGACTTCATATAATGGCCCAGGTATGGATGGATTATATGGATCATATATAAAATTGGATCGTGTGTACATTTTCCTACAATGAATTGCAAGATAAAACCCAAATGACTGGAGAAATATGTAAAGAAAATTGAGCTAACAATATATGAAATTCGAAAGCCTTTAATCTCTGGCAATCATTACCATGCATGCATTATTTTTTAAAATGTACATGACTGTATGTCTTTTGAATACGCCTTGATATTCACACATGCATGCAATGTGAATTAGTTTTAAGTGCATTTACGGAGTTTTTGAGATCAAGAACCAAACAAATAATTTTCAAAAACCATTTTGAAAACACACATGACTGTACGACATTGTGTATATTGTGGATAGCGTTACTAACAAGCCGCTGCATGGACAAACTATACGCACAATAATGATTTTGTAGATGTTTAAATAGTCACAGACAGTCCAACATTTTTTTTTCTTACAAATTTCATTGCAAAGACAGTTGCAAGGTAGGAATTTGTTCATGTGACTTCAGATTTTCGTCATTTCTAGAAAAAAGATTTTAAGTCGATTTTGGTTGACAATAAGTCAGCTCTTCCTGTAACCTTGTTCGTCCACAAAAATTGGAATATACGAAAGTTCTTATCAATCAGTAACATTGTGGCACCAGGTAAAACTTTTTTTCTTGAAAAGGAAAAAGGTGTCCGATTTCAACTCGAGACTCGCTATGATGGCAAACGCGTGAGTACTGTTTTGCCGATAAAGACGTTAGAAAAGGATGTGGTGCTTCGAATCCGTGGTGATGATAAGTTAGATGTGGATGTAGAAGATTTAGAGCTTGAACAAAGACAAATTTGTTTACGGCGACAAAATATGAAAGAAGAGGTTTCAGCATCAGGAAACAAGAACCTGTACGAAATCCTCTGCCTGAACATGAAGGAAGTTCGTAAGAAGCCCGTCGAAGAGCAGACCATTATGATTAAGAAGGCTTATCGTTCCCAACTTCTGCGTTGGCATCCTGACAAGAATCCTGAGAATGGGGATAACGCCGTCTGTCAAGAGATCATCTTCGCATACAATATTCTCAAAGATCCGGAAGCCCGAGCCGCGTATAATAACGTAGCAGATTATGACAAAGGATGGTGCTCAAAAGCGCGATGGAGGGCAATATTCAAGCCCGAACGATACAGCGATGAGCAGAAGAAACAATATCGCAAGAGAATGGGATTATTGTTTTTGTCAACTCTTCTTATAGCGGGGGGATTTGGTTTGACCTTTTTGACAGCGGGCATGGCCGCACCCGTTGTGCTCGGGATTACCATTGGATCAGCAGCCCTCATGGGAGGTGGAATTTCAAGTGGATTACGGACAATAAATCGTGAGTCAATAAAGAACGGCTGCTCCTTTAAACATTATTTTATTAGTTTAATCATCGGTGTTTTTGGTGGAGCAGCAATAGGGGCAGGAGTTGCTGGAATTGCTGCGTTTTTGGGTGGAGCAGCAAAGCTTGCATTCAAAGCTGCTCAACTTTCTCTGGAACGGCAAATTTCACTAAAAATAGTGGGCAGTTGTTTCCGCGGATTTGTCAATTCCCTTACTAGTAATCTAGATGCAATTTTTTCAGGTGGACAGAAAATGACCTGGAAACAATTTCTTTGTCACGTACTAATGAACGCCATTGCAGGAGGGATTGCTGGTGCATCTGGAGGGCTAACAGAAAACATGCTCGAAGGCGCGGTTTCTGCCGAAGAGGCGGCGATAGCATTTGAAGCATTTTCCTCTAACGTTTGTGATGGTGTAGAAGATGTAACAGCAGCAGCTGTGGAAGGTTTTGGCACCGCTGTCATTGAAGGTCTTGATAGTGATGTCGAAAATAAACCATTTGTGGACCGTATAAAAAAATTTGCAAACCAAGCTGCACTTACTGTGGCGATTCATGTCGCAAAAAACGGTTTTAAAACCATAAAGAAAGCCGTTGACAAGGTTAAATGCACTAAGGGAAATGGCTGTTTAGATGAATCAAAAAGAACAGTCCAGATAGATCAACCAATTCCGCAACCAAAGTGTTTGACATACAATAAACACAAAATGAAGTATATTTCTAAAGGAATTTGGTGTTCAAAGATGATTGTTAAGTACGTAGTGGACGGTAAGAAGAAAAAATTCGAGGGTGAAGGTAGTGGTAGTTTGATATGGATTCCATACAATGCTACCAATATCAAAGTCAGCTTCGAAGTAATGCGCGCTCCTGGTGTTTGGTGTGATGTGAAAGAGTACGACCGTTTCAAAAAATGTTGGATAAAACCAACCAAGACTCATATTTTTGAGTACGACACCCCTGTGGCACGCACGTACACTTTGGATGGAAACTTGTACTATGAAGCTGTGATGAATGTCACAGCAGATAGTAACGATGATATAAACGAAAATGATCTGCCAAGCTACAATGACCTAATAGCCAAAGCCGAAACATAGGCAACGCTAAATGATGATGGATAAGAAGCAAAAAACTTTTCGTATCACCACTTCCATTGCAATAACAGTGGACGTTCTTTTAAATAGCACTGTCGTAGCCAGCATCAATAATTTAGGGGGGCATATTCATATCATTTAGAGGCAATCATAGCAATATTCTAATCCCAAGGTAAAGACTGTACAAAATATAATTCTATGTATCTCTAGTCATTTATATAAACTAAACTTCAAGACAATTGGATTACGAACGACTTAATTTACGACTGGGATTTCTAAATTTTATTAGCACTTTTTAAATGTTCTGATAATTTGGGATTGTAATCTGATCTTGTAATCTTATATTATATATATATATATATAATCAGTTGTTTAACTGCTTTTAAAAACTATATAGGACTATTTGAACGATGAACGATGATATAAGTTTGGTCAAATGTGCTGTATCGTTTAAAATAAATGACAATGCATATAATTTAGCAGACAAATCCTTTTGTTTAATTTAACTCCTTGTTGAATTTGTCTAAGGTTGCGATGCATTTTATCGAAGATAGGCCAGGGATTTTTAAAGGATTTTAGAGATAGGATTTTTAAACTGACAGAGCAAAACTGCAAGCATTATTTTTTTTTGGACTACTAGAGCTTACTTTTGTTGTAAATATTGCAACTGCTTTGTGTCATTATATATATAGAAACGTTTTTGCAATTCAAAGTTCCATGACTACCTAAGTATGTCCTATTACATGCATATGCATTATTAATTATTATAGGCTATATGAACATGCAATACTCGAAACTCGTAACTCGAAAGCCTCAATGAAAAACGCAAGCTAGTATAGAATTGATGATATCAAGTAGAAAACGTCATGACTATTTCTCATGTTTTGTCATGTATATATAGGCTCGACCAAGCTGGTTGAATTTTGTATATTTCTTGTTTTGTCGTTGAGAACTTTGGTGAGCTGACATGCATTTTCTCGCGCGCTTCGCTTTAGACTTTTTCATGAGGTCAAACACCGGATCATACCAGTGCAAAACTTTTGTTTTTATGGGAGTTTTTTGTGAGGGCGAGACTCGAGAGTGACGCATATTGCCGCGAATTGCCCGCTCAATCCGACACGAAAATCCATAAAAATCGACTACCAAAAAGGGCAATGAGGTACAATCATCTGTTCTTACGCACAAACGCTTCTGCTCAAGACACAAATTGTACTAAATCACGCGGCAAATTACCCTCCAATAACAACAGCAATATCAGTTTATTACAACAGTTTTTCTCCTCATATAAAGCAAAATGATAAAATTAGATATTGCTAATGGGAAAAGTATAAATAATTTGAAACTTCAAACAAAAAAGGATTTAAATTAAACGCATTCAAGCATTCGATGTTTTTATTAAAGGCTCATTTTTTAAAAGTCATAAAAACTCAATTTGTAACACTCTGTTGCACGTTTAATTGGCAATTTTCGGTCTTCAAAAAAGGCTGGCATTTGAACTGATAGTCAGTTCTTGCCAAACTTGCCAAGGAACACAATCTCTTCAACCGAGCAGCGACGAAATTTAGAAGAAGAAATAAAGACAAATAGCAATGAAGTTTCTAGTGGTTGTCGTCTTAGCTCTGGCGCTTTCCCAAGCAAACGGTAAGAACTGAAGAAACTTTCGATGAAATCCGAGGCTTTATTTACACATTTTTGTATTTTACGACTAAGGAATCTGCTTTCTTTCCAGGTATTGTTTTTGGAGGCAACGGAGATTATCCGGACCCTGCGAAGAGTTTGGACTCTGCAAAGAGTTTGGAATCAATACCTGCCTCGAAACAGAACGATGTCCCAGGTAATTATAAATGTTCCCAGCTTTGCGTGTGTAATTATCGACACAGATTTAAAGATTCTATTTTTTCATTGCAGAAATCGCCAAAGAAAAGCTGAGCGATGAAGCTTCAAAGGACGATAAAGAGACTGCCCCAGACACTGCATTAGTTCAAAATGATTCTCATGAGGACGAACTGAAACACCTTCAGGCTGGAAGTAAGAAACGTTTGTCTTATCTCGTGGCCTGGTTTTAGTGTTTTCATAAAACAGTCTATATCTTCTTCTTCTGATCGCCCGCTATCTTTAGCAATTTAAGGAAGCGATCCAAGGATCAAAAGACACACATTAAACACCATTTTATAACTTTTTAGATTGTCATTGGGGTGTGGGCGTCTGGTTCAAACCTGGACAAAAGGTCAGATGCAGCTGTATGAAATGGTCAGTATCTTTTTTTATCCGGTTTGATTTCAATAGTAGCTTGGTTGTATCGTAAGCTTAACAATGTTTAACTTGCAATGTTTGATCTTTTTAGCTCATGCGCTGAAAAATCAAAATGGAATTGTGCCTACGAGTTTGCATATTGTCCATACTTTTGTAAGTAAATTTTGCCGCGGAAGGCTTTAATGATGGAATGTCATATAACGTGTTACCTAGGAACCGGACAGGAGTTTTTGGTTTGGGGGGGCGGAGCTTTCTTGAAAGAGGCTCTAGGGGGGGGGGTGTGCTTTAGAATCTTAAGTCACAAGTCTGCCTCAGAAATGCAATCATGTTTACCAATCATATTTGCCTTTCAAAACGTTTCCTACAAATTATTAGTACAGCAAAAGTGAATTTGAGGAAAACATTGTTACAGGCTGAGATTAATCACTGTCTTTGTAATACTATACATAGAGCTCATAATTAGTCGCGGTTTGATTCAAATGTTTTACCTAATTGCAAATTCTCTTCCTAATGACTATTCGTCCACTCGTTACATCAATATTTCTTTGCACAGATTGTGGTAATTTTTTCGTATTTTTTCTTTGCACAGATTGTGGTAATGTGGTGTACAATCCTCGCACTCAGATCTGTTGTTGCGGTAAAGTTTATAGAAAGATCGCCCGATTTTCTTGTTGCGGTTACTTCTACTACAACACCTCTGTTGCCAAGTGCTGTAACTACTTCACCGTTAAACCAAAGAAAGCCAATTGTCCTAGGGACAAAATTTAGAAAAGTCCACATCGAATGATCTCGAGTGCTGAAAACATCATTTCGAACCACAACAAAAACAGCATCAAAGCATCTTTTTAATTAATCCTTGTTATTGTGCACTGTATTGTGTACTGTATACTGTAATGTTTTACTCGAACGAAATGGTTGTCCATTTCAAGTGATATGTCTTGTACTGATTTGCTAAATTAATAAAGTTTTGTAAAGCAAAAACACAGGTTGCTTGCTCGTGTATAGTGCGGTTTATTTATTGAAAGACGTTTCACAAAGAGTTAAAATAAGATATTTCATTGGTTGCATGCAGAAAAATTGTGAAAGGCGGTACATACGAGGCTGGAGGGGGGCGGGATTAATAGGCGAAACAAGATCTTTTTAGACATTCCGAGGGTGAATATTTTTAGCATCATAGCCAGCCGGAGGCATTTTTTTACCCAAACACACACAACACAACACAGCACAGCGCTAAAACCTGATTGGCCAAACATTCCAGACATGAGCAAGCTCATGAGGTGTTTATTTACGTAGCAAAACTTCGGGCGTGTTAACGGTCGCGTGTCAAGTCTGGGAGCTCATGATTGCAACATGTTTACAACTGCTTTGCGCGACGTAGTTGAACTGGGAGGTAGAAAGTTAGAATCGTACAGTAAACGTCGAGTCAAGCTTTCAGACTGTGAGTTAAAGTGAATACAAAAACTCTTAATTCATAACAAGGGGTTTGATTGTTAATTTGAAAATTGAAATGCACTGAGCCTACGGCATATTTAATTTTCAACGACGATGCTTTGTCTTGAAGACATTCTGTATTTTGATCAAAAAATTTCATCAGGAAGTCAGCTCTGGCTTCTGTACGCTTCAGTTACTTTCTCCCTGTGTGCTAATATTTCGAAGACAATATAGGGGGGAACTAAGTAAACTTCAACCGTATTTCCGTTGTTATACGGATTAATTATATTACTAATTATTTCCGATGCCTTTATAATGATATTACAGTATTATACCAAGGCCAGTTGTTTTAAACTCTTTAAAACTTTAATAACTATATTTTGCATGTAGTTAAATTCTAGTTAAACTCAGAATTACACGAATCTGGTTGGCAAATTCTGCCGTTAACTACAGTCAAAAGTTAACTAGTCTTTTATACAACCTAACCTACCTGTTTCCCCTGTGAATATATTAAATGAGGGAAGTGTCTCGTCCATAACGAAACGTCGAAAGGCAAAAAATATAATAGGGGGAAATCAGTCACGGTCTTTTGACATTACCGCGACGAGATATGGTTGGCTAAAAGTTTATTAACACACGACAGGCTTAAGTGGCAGACTGCATGGCACTTGAAATTGGCAGACCAAATTTCACAATCGGTGATAACTTGTGACTAAGTTCATGCAATAGGTTGTGGACAAACGTGAGAGCAGGGAATAGATTGTAAAACAGCAATGAAATCACAGGTTTTCTTTTGCTATGCAGCGCTGTCGTTTCTCTTATGCACGACAAACGGTAAGTTAATAGAAAACAACCTGTTTCTTGTTTTTGCAGTTTCCAAAAGTCAGTGAATGAATTCAACGCATGAATCTATGATATTATATACCATTTAGGTCTTGACACAGAAATCAGGTCAGTTATCGATTTTGGTCAAGCCGTGCTGTTCAGACAAGGCTGTAAGTAAAACACATTTGTATTATTTATCTCGCTTATTTCCTCCACTAGCCGAGCAAATGAAATCCAAGTATGCTTATGGATCTATCTTGCAGTTGATTTTTAAAATTTGTCTTTTACACTGCAAAGAAACTTCGGGTGTTTCAATTTTCATATTGAATAATTGCTCAATGTTTAATGTCGGATTAAGACCTAGGAACTGTCTTAGACTTCAGGCTTTGTGAAATGATAGTCATATCTGGTAAGAAATAAATTAAGAATGGAAATTGCATGTGTCCATTGTAAATGCAGCATAATTTTATTTGATTTCCGTTTCAATTTTTTTACATCAATGATTCTATATTTCCTTGTTTATTTTGAAGATTGTCAATGGGAAATGGCATCTTGGCATAAGATAGGCGAGACTCAACAATGCAATTGCATGAAATGGTCAGTAATTGCATGGCTGTACAATATTTTTTCTATCAATTTAGTCAAAATTTGTGGCATTCAAAATCTTAACATGGGTGGATAAGTGCTTCATCTTGTTTAACCTGTTGGGATAATGCATGGAAGATGATGCAGTGCTTTTCTTTCTATAGTACATGCGCAGAGAAGGGGGAATGGAACTGCAAGTACTCGTTTGCAGACTGCCCATATAGTTGTAAGTATGAATCGTATGGAAACTTGTTCTGGTTCAATGCAGACACTTATACTCCACCCATCTCCTTTCCGAAGTCATGAAAGCCTAATATCGCACGAAAGGCAACAATTCCATCAATCTATAGGCTCCTTGCACAGGCATGATAATCCCTAAGAGTTGTTCTTCAGATGCTTCCTTCCTCTAAGGCCGCTTTCCATTTTGTCATAATTGCTGTCTATCATTTCTCTATAGATTGCAACAAAGATGCTTACAACATAAGGGAGAAGAAATGTTGTTGCACAAGTAAAATCGGCAAACGTTCACTCGGCATCGGAGCTCGACTCGAAGACGGCATTGTGGCAACGAAGCTTTGCTTCTTGCTCCCCATAGACGAAACCAAACACGCTATTGCACCTTTTGAAAACTGCCCTGAAGTAAAACAAACTTATTAATTAATCTGTAACAAAAACATCTTGTTGATACTCAACAAAACTCACTCCACTCACGTAAGCTGTAATAATAAACAAGCCTGTCGGGCACATCCATTTTCATCCATTTATATCAAGATATTCATTTATATCCATCTTCTATTTATATCAATCTTGAACCCACCGCTACTGACGTGTGTTTGGAGGGTGGGGTCTGGATTTTCTCTGAACGACAACTGGAAATTGTCCCCCAATATGATCAGGGAAGGAGTGCCCGGGGATAGTGGGTGATATGCATATATTTTAAACTATTTTAACTTGATTTAATATGGTTGCGGTGTCCTGCAACACCTTGAGAATTCTTCATCGATTAGTTTTGCCCTAAAATCGACGGGATGCTCACCACACCCTGCCACACCCAGATCAATGGGTAGTCACTGACCGCGATATGAACTGGAGGTATAACAACTTGTTGTCATGCTTTGATTGCTTTCAAAGCATGTGACTTCGAGTTTCGAATGAATTCGAATTTTTCAAAATTTCGATTGTATGCTCATTTTACACTCGATTTTAAAGGTTTTTTGCGTGGATGAAATGCTCTAGCTCTAGATATTTTCACAGGCAATAAAGCAACTTTAAGATCATGAAGAAAGAGTACGAAATACGAGCTAGAAGGCGAGCATTCAGACTGTCAGCATGAATCATTTCTGACGTTTGTTTACACATTCTCTTTGTGCTGACAGTCCTGCGATCTCGTTGAGAAACGAAATGGTTGCGCAAAGCTCAGAGCATGAATCACAAGATTTTGATATCGGGAAATTTTTAAACTCCTACGATTGTTTAAAAGCGCAAATGGACGATTTGAATGAAGTTCTGCAAGCGACAAATTTGGTGAGAAGGTATTAAATCATTTAAATGATCAATTCGTTCCACAAGGAAGTGAATGAAACTCGTGACTTTACGTCTTATATTGTGCGATCAGAACTCATAAAAAAGTTGCAGACAGTTTAGTATATTTCACAATATTTGATTTTAGGTGGGATATACCATCTCTTTCATTTCTTTGCTGTCTGTTCACCATCACTCTCTGTATCAGCTTTCCTGGTAAGAACAATTGTACAAATTTTGTTCATATGGAACGCTAGATATACCTTTTTATGCAAGCTACCACTATATTTAACTTCCTTACACATGGATACCTATACCGGCCATCCTATTTAAATTGGGTTAACATAGCAGATGGCTCCTTTTGATCTCCACCTGCCAGTATTAGTATATCACATTCATGCCATGATTATTTTTTCAGAATTTCTGTTTGCATTCTGTTTATCTCCAATTCCACTTGTTCTTCTTGTCACGTACATAAAGAGCTTGGGAGAATCTAAACAACTGAGGCACATTGTTGTTATGGCTGTAGAGAAAGGCGATGAAGAACTTCTGGTATGTATGATTCACCAGTATATGATGTAATACACATATTATATTCCACATGAGATTGTACGTTTATTCTTTTTTCACAAAGAGAAATTTGATAGGCAATGTGTATTTTGCTAGAAACGTAAACAGGAGATGGTTGAAAGGTCAAGGAGAGATGTGAAACGATTCATTAAAGTGTAAGTTTTCTGTTTGAGTTTAATTAATGTGATTTCATTTGTGTGCATGATATATATTGCATTGGGCATAGGTGGAATTTAGGATTCATTTTGTCATATCTTTATTTAAAATAGTTTATGTGAAATCCATAATTATATGGACATGGTGTATGGCAAAGTTTCTTATGTGCAAAGGTAATAAAATTGGGAATAATTGGACCAAATAATCGGAGGGAATTCAAGTAAATACGTTCATAAAGTTTGCTGAAACAATCAAGTCCAGGACATGCAATTGTTTTCTGTTAACTCAATGCAATCATACAAATTTCTGGTTGAATATTTGTTAATATATTTTTGCTTGTTAATGCGATACTCGGTACATGTTATTTTGATCATATTTTAATTATTTCATTTCAGATTGTTTTTGTGGGAGGATCCTCAGTTGACTAAAAGGTCAGGAGAAACAGAGAACTGCTTGTTTTGAACTGACATTTTTCAAGATGTACTTGCTGACTTCTAGACAATTTTAATTTTTTTCAGATTTCTTGGTTCCACTTTCGCATTGATGGTTCTTTTAAGTTTTCTACCATTCTCTCTTATCTTCCTTGCCTCATTCCTGTATATCATCCTGAATAATGATGAATTCAAAAAGGGTATGTGGATCAATTAAACATACACCCAAGCATGAATTATGTTTACATGCTGTGTATTTTACCAACATGCGTAAAGTTTCATACATTAAGATTTTTAAATGAAAGCGTCTCATACGTATATCCTTGACAGTCTCAATTTCCTTTGCCACTTGTCATTGCAATATCATGCAAGTGATGCAACACTTTTGAAATTATATTTTATTAAATCTTTTACAGTTATTGCCGAAAACACAGCCATTCTTAAACTTGCGGGATTGGAGGGTATTTACTACTTGGAAGAAGATCACAAAGATACAGAATGGGTAGGTAAATATAGCTAAATCTGTAAATCTTCTAAATTTTCTTTCAAACATCGTAACATATGAAGGTGGGCAATAATAAGAATCATAGAAGGCATAGAGAAACTCTTAAATGTGCTGTTTTGAACTACATGATTATATAAAGATAACTTTTTTAAACTCCCTAAATAGAAATCCTATCTTATGAAAGTATGAAAACACTTTATGTTGGTACATTTTGTATTTATCTAGTATGATGCTTCCAGTGTTGTTGAAAGCGATGCCAGCTCATTTGAAGATGATGAACTGACTAACAGCAGCGAAGACAGTGAGGAATTTGAAGAGATTGATGTAAGATTTCACTGTTTAGCCTAGAATTAATAAACTTTCCTGGACTCAGAACTGATGTGGAGAGGAGGATTTTTCTATCTTGAATTAACCTGACTATAAACAGAACAGCAAACGAGTTTATAGAATGTTACATCAGCGATGTTTTGCTTTTAGATCAACCAAAGCATGGGAAAGCGTTCAAGTAAGGATTATAATTTTATAATTTCCTTCAAATTAACTGACTCCTGGTTTAATCTCTCATTGAAAAAACAGCGCTGTTCAACACTCAATATATCTGTTTAATTGTTTCATAGAGTCATTTGTGTCACATCTTAACGAGTACAGAAAAAGAAGACAAGAGTTTAAAAAAGGTATGTAATGCATTTGTAATATTTTTTCTTGGCGTGATTAGATCCATAGAAGAGAATTACAATAGGCAATTGGTGTCCAGGTTCATATTTCGGTCTGTAACAGAATACGTACACCACACCCGTGTACCTGTGGGCGCTACAGACCACAGTTTAAAACTCGACCGCACAAATACTTCTAGCCTTCTACGAATTATTCCTATAGTCAAACTAATCGCGCGCCTTTGCTTGTTTTTCTCAGGAAACTGTGCAGCGTGTGACGTCGCTTTTTCATCTCTACTAACAAGAAGGGTAAGCATCGATCATTTTGTACAAGTCGTATTCATGCAATGGTGTATCTTGGTCAAACTTAAACTCAATGTCTTCGTTGTATATTACCGCTTAGACTTAGTTCAGCTTGTTTTCACCACTGAGATTGGTCTGTAGTATATAAACACAATCTTCTGGTAAAGTTTGGCTTATTTTCTCGCTGTGTTTTGTGTAGAGATACTGTCGACGTTGTGGTGATAAATTTTGTTCAAAATGTTGCAGACATTACGTTAAAAAAGCGGCCCTTGGTGCTACAGGTATGTTGAACTAAAATAAACTCATCACTAACGTCAGAATAACCGAGTTTCAAGGCCAGAGACTTTAAGTCTGATGACTTGAGTCAATTTAATATCGTCAAATTTCATTCAACTTCATCTCAACGTTTATATTTTTTAGCCCCTGGTTCACGTGATAAGCGAGTGGTCGTGTGCAACGCTTGCTACGGAAAACTCCGAGTGGCGAAAGCTCCCGATTGACGAACGTCGTGAAAGGTACTGATATTTACGAACTTTTCTCAACGCACGAATGACACGCGGGTTAAAAACGGAGATTGCAGGAGAAGGTGACGATCCAGGTGCCTCACACCAGGCAGGAGGTCAGTTGATCTCGCTTAGTGACGTCAAACGCGGGAAAACACTCGTAGGAAAAGCGCTTTCATTTAAACCCCTGGAAGCAACCGAGTATATAAAGACGAATGGTTATATCGTAATGTTTTTGTCTTTATATAATATTTGACGAGCAAATGCTTTAAGATGGTATGACAAAAGCTCCAAAATAAATACGGTTAAATTTTATGGCAAAATGACAATGATAATAGCCTTTAATTCCTATTTTCAACACCGAATAGTTCTATCTAACGATATTTCTAAATTACTAAAATATTTGTGTAGTCTGGTTGAAGAATATTGTCGTCTTTAAACAAATTTTCCCAGCTAAATTCCATTAAAACAAATATTTCTCAACGGGTTGTGAATATTAAGCTTGCAGTTTGGCTTAAAAAACTAATTTTTCAACAAATATTTGTTATCCAAGAGGCTCAGTTTCCTTCATCAGCCAGCGGTATGCAACCATTTTTCCGTGCTCGCGCAACATCTCCCCAACCTTCTCGCGGCACATTTCGTGGTAATCGTTCAACCAATTGATCTAAATATATCAAAATATGTTCACATGTAGCGTTTTGCCCTCCAGGAAAACTTTCAGCGATAGATTAAGATCAAAACTTACTTCTTCGGGGCTTAACATGGCTGGTACCAACATCTTAGTTTGAATAGGAAACTAAATTGAAAGAATTTCATTTCAAGACTCCAGAAAAATTCTCAATTGCACAATTTGCACTCAAAAAGCTTTAAAACCAGCCAACTAATTCTAGCAACTAATTATAATTCAAGTCAAGCCAACTAACTCATCGCTAGAAGGCAAATCTATACACTTGAACGAAGTATTTATATCGAATTATGAAATTAGTTTAAGTTGAGAAAACCCAGTTTGCTTTGTCGTACCAATGTTACTGGTTCAAATCCAATATATCCAATATCACTGAAGTTGTTCTGTACGAAAAGAAACAAATACGCTTGTTGTCAAAATATACTAGAATTTGGCTTGAAAATTATTGAACTTCAAATATTTTTACTGGGATTGTGTTTGAACATATAGTAGAGTCAATAGTCTCACCTCCAAAGTGACTGGTTTCAAAAGTAATATACTTTCAATTCGAAAACCAAATGAACCCTCTTGATAGAAACCAGGCTCTAAAAATATTTCAAAATATTTTCTAAATGAAAAGAAAGCCATTCGTACACGTTGAACACGTTTCAAAATTTCAGGAAAATTTCATTTCGAAAGAAAACATTTTACCATCTGAAACAAACATTCCAGATTCCAGTGGTTCATCGTTTGTTCTGGCGCCAATTCCCTGAGGACCTGATTAAAAATTCCTGCATGTCAACACGTGCTAAAATATATATCACCAGTGTACTGCAAGGGTTAAGTGTGTACCTTCGTGAACATTTAGGAACGCACCGACACCGTGACCTGTTCCATGCCTGTAATCTAGACCACCTTCCCAGAGACTGTACCTCGCGTAGGAATCAAGTTTGGAACCTTTTAGAACAAAAGACTGAGATATATGACTGATTTAACTTTAAATATCCTTCTTTATTTACGTAGGTAATTTCATGCGTTTAAAATTTCACAAAAGACAACTTGCCTTTCGTTTTGTTCGGAAAAACAGCTTTTGCTAAAGCTATGTGACCTTTTACGACTCGTGTGAAACATTTCTGTGAAAAACGTGTGATATTTAAGAGCTCCTGTATGTTCGTGATGAAAAATCTGGCATTTGGAAAGATTATCCTAGAATATATATACGAACCTTTTGGAAGTCGTTAGGTGTTCCAAAATGAAAAGTGCGTGTCACATCTGTCGTACCATCCCTATTCCATAGAATTCAACGAGTTTGCAAAATATTACACTTTGAATTTCACAACTAGATTTCTACAGATAAAAGAAAAGATTATCCGTAAAAAGTGACACGTTAAACTATACCTGTACTGTGCCCCCGAATCGCATAAATAAATCTCCTCACAGGTGAGCCTTCGATCCGTGCTTTCAGCTGGTCTTAGAAAACAAAATATTTGATATTCAACTTTTATTCAGCTTTATAACAAGATCTATATTATTTGTTTGTAAAAGATTGTTATTAATACCTGTAGTGAATTATTGCCCCGTGTGGACCCGAAGCTGATATTGTTGAAAAACTAAGACTAACAAAATCGTCCAGTTTACTATAAATAGGAATAAGAAAACCAATGTTTTGTTAAATTATTTTTAATGTTTTAATATTTGAGATATTTGTCACACCTTCGAAGTTCCTCCAGTTTGTTTGCGGCAGATATTTCGGTCAGTGTTCCGGTCGGAACCTGCATGTGTATGGGAAATAATGAGATATAAAGTTGACACTCGTTTGAAGTCCGATTATGGTGATTTTTGTGAGAGAGATTATAGTATGCAATTCACTGATTCAGCGCGGGGAAATACCATTGCTTTATCCAGGCATACTAATAGCTCATTGCATGAACTGAGGGCTGGTTTTGTTTCCACAGAGGACTTGAATTTTAAGTTAACTTTATCTTCCTGAAATCACAACTGAAAATATCGAACATACTTCCTTTTCGAGCCAACAAAAATACTCGCACAAAGCCGTGGCATCTCGGATCTAAATAACAGTTGCATGCATGAGAAATTGTGTGCATGAAGTTTATCTAACGAATAATAAAGAAATTAGATCTTAAAAGCAGTTCTGCTGCACGGCCGTTTCGTTTGCTTACGTGAGCGTTTCTCATTCCTTCTATTTCGACATCATTTTTAACCGCTTTCAGTTTGGTCACCGGAGACATTTCTGACAGTCGCCTTGTCTGTATTCGAAGAAAACAACGAAATCTTACAATTACAAAAGTATTGATCTTAAAAGTATTGATTTCCATCCGTAAATAAACTAGAAGGACCACTCCACTTAGAAAGACGTTTCACTTACGAATGAATTTCACTTACCTTTGGTATAAGTGTATTTAGCGCTGCGCTGGAAGAACCGCTTATCTAGAAATATTTGAAAAAGGTTGATGCGGAAATACCACAAAATTTCGCATGTTTTTTAAAATAACGTTTTCTGCAAAAGACTTTCAAATTTACCCATATCTTTCCGGGGCACGAGCTAACCAATTCATCTACAGCGTTAGAAATATCTTCATATGGTCTAAGCGTAACTTTATTTTCATTTGAGTGACATTCATCGACTTCATCCGCTACCGATAAATGTTCGTAAATATTCTTGCTCAGTTTCAATTCATCAATGAACAGACTAAAAAGGTTTCACAAACCGAATGAATGAAATTCACTGTTTTGTGAGTGTATATAGTTTTTACTAAGAAAGCTAGTTCACGTACCACACTGATTTGTCTGTAACGATTGCATATGCCATAAAAACGGGATTGTAAACAATGTCAGAGCCACGAAGATTAAACAGCCCTAGGTCAAACCAAATAAAACGGTTTTATAACAAGGTAATCACATGGGATTGTTGCAGGCATTATAATACGGAATTTTTACAAGAACACACATTGTCTTTAGGTTCAATAATCCTGGAATATGTTCAGGGGCTGTCGGGCGGAAACGCGTCTCGGCCTCTATAGATCATATAATTTTAAATCCCCAACTATCCAAGCGTTTTTATATACTTTATAATAGAAACAATAATTATTTTAAATAGTCAAATTAAAATTATATTAGACATTTTTGTCCATGAGGCATGATTTTTACTACACATTTTTCCATTTACAAGGACACATTCGCCTTTTACAAGGACACAAAGTGTGTCAAAAACACGCATATTATAATGCCTGGATTGTTGACTTGTTATGCGAGTGTTTTATCGACCTGTAAAGCAATTTGAAGGAATAAGACCTTTTTTATCTTCTTAACTAAGCTTAGTTTTAGTCTGAATACATTTTGTCGGGATGAAATAGCATTTCTACGTGTGCAAGTTAAAGATTTCGTTCGCCACTTACACGCGACGTCATCTAAGGCAGTAAACACGACTGCAGAAGCCTTTTTCTCCTTTAATTTGCTACGGACAACCGAAACCTTGTCCTGCCATTTTTGACCTGTTACGAAAAGAGAAGCACTTCAACCTTTCCGTATATAAACACAGCCCAGGAGAGAAAACACGGTGAGTAACTTTCTAATGACCTGCATATTTCATATCATGAATAAACACTTCGTTCATTGGTGGTTCTGGCTTCCCAAACTCCCGCCAAACAACATCAACCAAGTTTTCTCTGGATTTCACCAAAGAAACTCCGCTGAGCTTTAACGTCTACACAATTCAAAAACAATTTGAAAGATTTTGTATAAATTTCACCAGACAAATATCCAATGTTTTGAAATATGTGGAAAGTTTCAGTTGAAATATATATCCTAGATTACCTTTCTTATTTTTTCCCAGCTATCTAGAAAATTAATAAGCCAGGAGTTCACTTCTCAAAAACAAAAACATTGTCTAGTTTTGAATTGAATTTTGTAAAACATACCAAATGACATAAGCCATGGGTCTGCACCAACCAGACTCCCTGATGGTAGTTCCTTTATGAATGAAATAAACTATTATGATTCTTGTAGTTCGATATGTATATTTTATGAAACAAGAGTGATTTGATCAAATTTGTGGTTAATTCTTAGGGATGTCACCTGAGCAAGCCAGTCTGCTTGGGAGGGTGTATCAGTTTGCCCTGAAAGTACAAGTAAATTGATTGTATGCATGTTTTGATGAGCATGATAGATTTTCAATGTAAGAAAGTTACCAACCAGCTTTCATTAGCGTCCAGTTACTGTCCAGTTGTTGCTCGGCTTGCAGAAAGTATCGACCATCAGTCCATAAAGCCGCTTTGGACTGGGTTACAATCGCTGTTCCTATAGCAAGAATGGCAGACATTAGAGAAAAAATGAACATCATTTTTAAGTATTGACCATCAGTCCATAAAGCCGCTTTGGACTGGGTTACAATTGCTGTCCCTATGGTTAGAAGGGGCGGACATTAGAGAAAAAATCAATATCATTCTTGTGACAAAGAGATGATTGATAGAATTACCTGCAGAACCAGTAAATCCAGATATGAATTGTCTCCTGCAATCACTTGATGCAATGTACTCACTCTGAAAAAATGGCAAAATTGGAATATATTTTAAGGTAGGTCAAACTATTTGAAAACAGTGTTCAAAGTCAATATTTGCATGCAGTGGTATTATATTACTTTCAAAAAATAATTTACCACACTGAGTACATACGAAACTAAATATGCTCTATGTACAGGTATTTATTACTCATCTGTCTTGTATCAGTGAAACTAATCGAATGCTTGTTTTATGCCAAGTTATTTGATGGAGTATAATTTCAAAATCATCACAATTCTATATCCTAAAACTGGCAGGTCCTAGGCTAATAAAACAGCTTTTTCTTGCTTGTAATTGTTAGGATATCGCCACAGAATAACCAAAATCCGCAGTTACTGATAAACACTCCACGATTGAACGGATTTCGAAGAAGATACGGGGTCCATTGTTACCTGATGAGCGTCTTCACTAGGTATAATATAAGCTTGAAGTAAATCTGGCACGTATGCCTTGTTCTTCATGGCCGAGCGAAGCTTAGCAAGTAATTCTCCCGTTGGTTTGGCCATATTTTCTCGTAGAAAGCAAAGAAATATCGAAAAAAATTGAGAAAGAAAAGACAAACTCGTTTTTAGTTGATTTTTGTATTTTCGTTATTGAAAGGAAAACACGTCGAGGGAAATCCCCTTGTTTCCACTTGCCAACTAATTTACATTCAAATGAAAATACCTTTCAAAAGACAAACCCAAATGTCTTTTTTGTTTTGAGACCAAATTCGCTTTTAATTTGAATTTATAGTGTTAAAAGGACGAAATTCTATAGCAGGAGTCCCTAATGGTTGTGAGACAGAAGAAATATATTTACATGATTAGTTGACCATTTTAAAATTCATGTTAATTACTTGTATAATTTTCATTCGTATTTTACATATTGAGGACGCTATTGGAACGTAAATTTCTATTAAAATACAAACTCTTTTAAATCTAATATACTTTAAATCATATAAACTAGAAGTGAATTCTTCGAGGATATGAATTTGAAATTTCTCAAAGAGTCTTTGAGCGAGAGATTGGAAGCACGGGCGGACGGAAGTCTGGAATCGACAACAAGAACGACGGTTGAAGAATTTTTTCTGGTAAGATTCAAAAATTCTTTTATCTTTTAAATGAGATCGCTGGGTTGTTAGCGCCGAAAAGCTTTTAAAACAGGTGAAATTAAACACGTTCTTTTGTTTAGCATGGAAAAATTGCCCACGATTGGCAAGGAGAATTTGTTTGACGCACTCAATTGTTCGCCGATTTCGCCAAGTGGCTGCGAACTTCGTCAAAAGACGACAGAAAAGTTGGTATATTCGCCGTTGTCTGAGCGAAATCTCGTACTCCAAGACAACAGTCTGCGATCGCCAGAAGCTCACAGATCGTCTAAGGTAAGCAAGACTATACATGGTCGGATAATATATACCGATCTGCTTCGATACGATATTGAAAAGTTTTGTCCAAACTTGAAGCTGTTTGTCCATTTTCACACGGGCTATATCCGGTGTAATAGAGCGATTATGGGCGCTGTGTTGGCCAAGTTCTATACCAGTTTTATCAGTTTCATGGTGAGATTTTACTACCTTTTATGCTTCTTCGCCTGTGGTAGTTTGTGTAGGATATATTTTTAAAGTTGTTGTACTATTGAATGAACGAGTCGAATTGCTCGTACAGTACAAGTTTATATTTTATATATTTTAAGTACTTAACATATTATATTCAAACAGTTACATTGCATATAAACTACTAGTATTTTACAATTTTGATAAATAGATATAGAATAATGCACCGTATTGCATAAACTGTGGCTGGGATTTTTTTGGGATCATAAGACACGATTGATAGTATTAATTAGCTATCTGGTCGCTAGTATTTCATGCCTGGGCCCATATTGGAATATGCAGTTTGACTGAATATCACTGGGGTTAAATAAGACAGACCACATCATAGAGAATCATCAACTGATCAGGTTTCAGGCTCCAAATTTTGGATAATTTTCAGAATATATTACATTGATGTTGCTCACAGATTTTCAGAATATTACATTTGTGTTTCTTGCAAATTTTTGCACCACAATTGGGTGTATTGAAGTACATGATAACCACCCTTAATTTCTTGTAAAATGTTTCATCACCTGTAAAAAATTTGGCTAAATTCACGCTGGGCCTGTCAAATTTATGAATGTGCTTGAATTTGTCCGGTTCAGGTTTCATAAGGGGAAAATGGATAAAAATTGACTGATCCGATCCTGGATCCTCTAGATATCACACAAAGTAAATAACAAATACTAAAATACTATAGTGCTGTTAGTGCGCACATTAGGATGCATTGCGAGCAAGTTTTATTCTTTAAAAGAGATTATACTTGTCACTAATACTAAAATTTTTATTCATGATTTTTTGATCTAATAGATTTTTTAATAATCCTCAAAAATAGTTGTAGTAATAATATAATAATATGAGGCAGAGATAAGTTTTTGAGGGAGTTTTGAAGTTTTCATCAACAAGTTCCCTTCATGAAGTTTTACTTGCTTGTGTTTAATATAAAGAAACTGACATTTTTTTTTGAAAAGTGTCTACTTGCATATTTTGATTGCGCAAACAATTCCGCCATATGAAGTCGTTTGACGGTCGTGCACACGAGCAAATGACGGTCCTACATACAAGCAAACTTGTGCGGAAAAGCTCGCATTTGAACTAGCTTTCAAACAAGGTTACTTTCGGTAAAGAAATGAACATGGCAAAGAGTTAGCTTGAACGAAAACTTACGCGTTCGTACAGGGCTAATAAGATGTACCAAATCTGAGACAATGTGTCGTTTTCCGGAAGGATGTAATTGATTATATTGTTGTTGTGCAGATTCATCAGTCATCAATTTCTAGAAGTAGAACTGAATCACATTCTAGACAAGTCTCTAAATTAGTTGTTAGAATTGTTAGAATTGAATCATAAAAAGGGCTGGGAATTGGGATTTAATATGTATTCAACGATAAAAGTTCATACACAATTGACAAAATTTTAATGATCACAACTCGTGACTTTGTATTCTACCGGAAGAATTGACATAACCAACTATGCGGAACGTATTAATAAGAGAAGAAAATTGATACGGCATGGTTAGCATGAATATGGTGTAGCATCATCACGACTGCCTTCGCCGTTGAATTTGTTCACTTTGCAATTGATAGTCGAGATATATTATCATCCAGCTTTTGATATCTTTCCATACGAGATATGTTCGTTGTGAGTTTGTCCACGCTAACGTTCGTCGCATATTCTCTGCTCTTGATGCATCGGACAACTGCTCGGTCGACAAAGGAAAGCCAACCAACTGCTCGGTCGACAAATAAAAGCCAACCAACTGCTCGGTCGACAAAGGAAAGCCAACCAACTGCTCGGTCAACAAAGAAAAGCCAACCAACTGCTCGGTCGACAAATGAAAGCCAACCAACAATTCATCTGCCGCGTAACATTAGCAACGAAACTACGATTGTGACGAGGTCAAATTTGAACGAGACTGAATGTAAGATGTCGATAAAAGAGGAAGATTGGAAGAAGTTTTTAACGCTGACAGAACATAGCCTGGTAAACATTGTTGATCTGCATTTCGTGGTTGACGATAATCACACTAAATACACAAGATCAATGATTTGGGTCAACCGTGTTGGAGGGAAACTATTACTCTTACTCGATATAGAAAGCTTCTCAACAACTTTGAACGTCGGTAGACGAAATATGAAAATGCACGTCGAAACTCAACCAAAGGAGTGTGTTTGGTTTAATAATACAGAACAGAATTATCAAGTTGAAACGAAGCTACTGAATATTTTTGGCCTAAAGATAAAACCAAGCGAAGAACTCTGTTTTACTTTGCGTCCAAACGCAAAAAAACCCCGACAGTGTTGCAAAGTTACCAGAACTGGCGTTAACAAGGAAGAATATGAGTGTTATCTGAGCCTTGGACCACCATTTGGTATGACTTTTGAATTGCTACTAGCAAGCTTTGTTTTCCTTTCGTTATTGACACTAAATGGCCTCTATCTTTACTACTTATTTCTTCAGCAATTCCCGGGTAATAAGGATTATTATAAGCTTACAGATAGCCCGATATCTTTAACGAACATGGTCATGAAACTTTCCTGGAGAGAAGGCGCCATTTTGAAGTCCTTAGGGTATAAATCTGTTCTGTCATATCTCTCCCTTTTTTTCCTTTTTTTTTCGCAACCTTTGCTTTTCCTGTTAGCGCTTGTTTGTATCTGGTTGCCGGTGGGTAAACTTTCCAAATCCTCAGATAAAATATTAATTGGGAAGCGGTTTTTCGACTGGCTAATACGAAAATATGAACAGGTATTTGGTTTAGATATCAGTAATGAAAACGAGTTTCAAAGAGCTGTTCAAATTCTGACTTTGCCAATCAATGTAAAACTCTGGTGTAAAATATTTCTCAACTTGGTAAACGTTGTATTGACCATAGACGTAACCTCGAATATAAGAATCTGTGTATTAGTTTCTCTGTTCTTTTTCATTATTTTTCTGTATATCGTCTTTTTTATTGTGTTTACAGCCGTCATTGTGTGTATAGATGTTGTTTACAACGTGCTGATGCTTACAGCGTCGTTTAATATTTCACTATCTTCTTTTGTGAATTATCCGTGCCTCTATTACTCTTTATTACTCTTTTCTGCGTTATTTTCTGTGATTTTCTCAGGATTATTGTGGTTTCTAGTCCCGTTTGTCATATTACCCCTAGTTTCAGGAATAATCCTCAATTCTGTTTATTTCCTGCCCTACGTCGCCTTTTTCTCAGTGGTAGGTTTCTACACATGGCGTTCTTGGAAAACTCTGAAGGGAGAGTATTTCTCTTTAAAAATGATCATTTACGAAGTGCTACAAGAGAAACAGAGCAGCAATATAAATCTGGACGATGTAAAAGACAATGAAAGAATTGTATATGTTGTTTCAAAGAAGCTCTACCGTAAGATAAGAATGAGACTTCTGCCATATCATACCAAGTTTTTTGTATTTAGTGTAAAATTTGCCCTTATCATCGTCTTCGCGTTTGGTGTCATTGAACTGGTCAGAATATTGCAAGCTGTTGACGCTTCACCAAGTGTTTTGGTCATTGCCATGTTGACGACAGGTGCATTGCCACATATTTTGAATATGGTGATGGCCACAGAGAGCGATGACGAAAGAAAAGCACATAATAAAACTATGAGGGCAAACGTTGAATGTTTAGTTGAAAAATTCACAAAGAATGACTCGAAGTTATCAATGGCCTACTTAACAACAACGTTAATAATATCAGAAGTGAGATCAAATGGGGACGTTGAAAAGACCGAAGAATTGGCAGTGAACGGCAGAGATCTTCGCAAGAATTATAGTATTACGACCTACCTTTAACTGAATGATTCATTTCATTTTAATACGAGATAGAACAACAATCATAGAAAAGTTTAATGATACTTGATTTATATATTTTAGGTACTTAACATATTATATTCAAACAGTTACGTTGCATGCAAATTACTAGCATTTTACAATTTTGATAAATAAATATAGAATAATGCGCCATGTTGCATAAACTTTGGCTGGGGGTTTTTTGGGATAATAAGACGCGATTGATAGTATAAATAATTAGCTATCTGGTCGCTAGTATTTCATGCCTGGGCCCATATTGGAATATGCAGTTTGACTGAATATCACTCGGGTTAAATAATACAGACCACATCATAGAGAATCATCAAGTGATCAGGTTTCAGGCTCCAAATTTTGCATGATTTTCAGCATATTAAATTGATATTTCTCGCAAATTTTGGACCACAATTGGGTGTATTGATGTTCATGATAACCACCCTTAATTTCTTGCAAAATGTTTCATCTGTAAAAAGTTTGGCTAAATTAAAACTGGGCCAGTCGAGTGTGTTTGAATTTGTCTGGTTCAGGTGTTCACAAATGGATGAAAATTCATGAACCACATGTTAATTCACATGAGAACAGTCCAGTGGAACAAATCTAGTTATCTTAAAATTCAAAAGAAAATATGGTAATATTTTGCTAGTAAACCATTTCTCTGCAAGTGGAAATCCAGCCAATTGAAATACCATTAGTACCATAAGGGTGACTTTTTGTCATTGAATTCCTATCAATTGGCATCAGCAAGTTAAAATGCAATACTATTGAACAATTGTATTTAAGATTTATTGCTGGTTTATGAGTGATGAGGTGATAGTTATTATTAAGTATATTGCGTATTATTAGTATATTAAGTATACAGTATATTATTACAGTGTATAATATATAAGCGTAATTATTAAAAGGTACATCGCCAACATATTTTGCTGCAAAGCTTTTGGTTATACATAAATCCCATACATATTTCATTCATACGTACACATGCACATAGTTATTGCCTGACTGTCCAACTGTCTGTTCTTTTATCTTTGTGCAAATTAACGACATGTGCCTACTGATTACTAGTACAAGGATTAAGACCATGGATTAGCAATTAGTTAAGGATATAAATTGGGATTTGGTTAGAGATTAACGGAGATCTGAAAAGGAATCCAGAGTAATTGTGCAAAGGTTAAGTATACTTGTAAATGCATGTCTAGAAATATTACGATTAATATAAAACAAATCCTTGATCAGTTAGATCTAGGCTGCAACAAACTTTCTTGATTATCAACATCATTGCCATTTACTGGTTGTGATTCAATGTCCCCATTTGGTTTAATTCTTGGTACTGTTATGGTTGTTCTCAGGTACGATATTGATTCTTCTGAGTTGTCTTTCGTCAGTTCATAATTCACCAAACGTTCGACATCTGTTCGTAGGGTTTCATCATGTGCCTTTTTCTCGTTGCCACTAACTGTGGCCATCACGATATTCAAAATATGGGGCAATGCACCGGTTGTCATTGAAGCAATGACCATAATAGTAGGCGAAGCGTCAGCAGCTTGTAATATCTTAACCAGCTCAAAGACACCAAACGCGAAGACAACAATAAGTGCACATTTTACAACAAAAACCAAAAATATAGTTTGATATGGTAGCAGTTTTTCTCTTATCTTACGATAAAGGCCTTTCGAAACAACGTGTAAAATGCGTTTATCGTCTTCATTATGAGATGAATTTATAGTGCTGCTCTGTCTGCCTTGTAATACTTCATAAATCATCCATTTTAATGAATAAAACTCTTCTTGGAGAGATTTCCAAGAACGCCATGTGTAGAAACCTACGACTGCGACTAATGTGACGTAGGGCAGAAAATAAACAGAATTGAGGATTATTCCTGAAACTAAGGGTAGTATGAAAATTGGAACAAGAAACCACAGCCAACCGAAGACGATTATGTTAATCAACGTGTGAATACATAGAATAGTGTAATAGATAGCATCATGGGCATGGATCACTACGAACGGATATAGCATGATACTAAAGGAAGCTGTGAATATCACAGCGTTATTTAAAACATTTATGAACATAATAATTGTGGTTGAAACGATGAAGAAAACGATGTGGAAGAAAAGAAAGATAATGCTTACGATGAAAGCACGAAAGTTCCCATTGCACGGAGTGATGTTAATTGATCTTTTTTTGTAAATCTTTTTCCAGAGTTTCGGATTGAAGAGCAAAGTAAGAAGAAAGACCGCTCTTTCGAACTTGTCCTTATCAGAGATATTTATATCGAAAAACTGTTCATACTTTTTTAAAACGCTGTTGAATAAACGTTTCGTAGCTTCTACTTTCTTGGCGAGTTCGGAATGCGTGCACATTGGTAACCACAGGAGGGAAAGTACCCAGAGTAACTGAGGTTGCAATGCAAATAAAATCGTTAAAACCGTTGTTGTGAGGAGAAATCTAACCAGGAAAGATTTCATCGTTATGTCTTCTATACAGACGATTTTTTTGACAATGTTAAATGAAGACATTAGGTTGTCTGTTAGCTTGTAATAATCTTTATGGCATGGAAATCGTTCAAGATATAGGTAGTAAAGGTGAATGGCATTCATTGTCAATAACGAAAGAAGAAAAAAAACTAAGAGTAGCGATTCAAACGTGAAGGGTACGCCAAGTGGCGGACCGATGCTTAGATCACACTGTTGTTTGTTTGTTTTCATCCCAGTTCTTACAGTTTTGCAACACCATCGTGATCTGAATTCGTTTAAAATGAAAGTGTAACAGAGTTCTTCGTTCGGTTGTATTATTCCGCCATAAAATCTCATTAGGCGTCTGTTATCTGTATATTTCAGTTTTCGTTTATCGTAGAAAACGCACAATTTTGGTCGTTTTAAGGTATGAATCGTTATACTCCGTCTACCAACTGTCAGGGTTGATGAAAAGTGTGGGCGAATCATATCGAGTAGTAATAATATTTCCCGACCAACGCTGTTTACCCAAATGATAGACTTGGTATATTTGGTGTAATTAGTGTGGTACACGAAATGAACGTCAATGATATTTACCAGGCTGTGTTTCGTCAACTCCAGGAACTTGATTGAATCTTCCTTTTTTATTGACGCTCTGCATACAGTATGATTTCGATCTTGGCTTGTCGTATTTTTGGTTCTGTTTGAACTGCTCTGATGAGTGACTTGAGTCGTTGACAGTGGTGTAACTGATGTTGGTTGGCTTTCATTTCTTATCGAACCAGCAGTTGTCCAAGGGAGTTGTATTATGAGCAGAGAATATGCTACCAATGGCAATACAGGCGTCCCCAATTTCAGAGCGAACATTTCTTCAACTTATCGAACGCTGGTAAAGTTTTTCTTTCTTCTCTCGTTTAGCAATTGACACTGAGACGGGCAAATATTATGATCAAATAGGAAGATCGGGCCGGTCTTTTATATGCGCACAAACATATATATAATAATAGGAGGGAAATTCCCAATGCTTAGAACGGCAAATTATTGCTCGCTCATATTTTTCACCCGCAGAGCTCTTAATCATCCAAATATTTTGCGTTACAATAACAATAACAATCTATGGGACTTTTTGGGTGGTTTTTTGGAGTTCATTTCTTAAATTATTATTGTATCTGAATCGAGTTTGCTTTGTGTAAATAATTTGTTGTGTGTGGATCAAGTTGTAACTCGTTTCCAAGACGTGTGTTAATTAAAGTTAAACATAATGGCCCTGCTGAAGCTGTAGTGTAGCCATGTTTGTAGATGACGAGACGTTTTTTTTCTATCACTATGTGGTCACTGCCTTGTCATTGATTATTGTTATTTAACATTGCTATTGCAATTAACACTGCAGTTCTAATTTGAGAGTCTGGCGATTAAATTGTGTTGGTTTAAAAACGATGGATCTGTTCCTGGTATATTTTTACCTACATTTAGTGATTTTTAATTACCTGCATCAATTTTGCTCAAGCTGGCTTCAAACCGCTGCCACCAATGCCTCAAATAAAATATTTTTGGTGGGGAAATTCCTAAACGTATACTGGTCGAGACGAATGACAAAAGGCTATTACGGCAATGGCTATTTTTGACTCAAGATTTCTAAGTGTTTTTCAATGAATATTTTTAATTAAAGAAACGATATGGTGCGTTTCCAAGACGTGTGTTAATTAAAGTTAAACATAATGGCCCTGCTGAAGCTGTAGTGTAGCCATGTTTGTAGATGACGAGACGTTTTTTTTCTATCACTATGTGGTCACTGCCTTGTCATTGAATAGTGTTATTTAACATTGCTATTACTGCAGTTCTAATTAATGTTATTGAGAGTCTGGCGATTAAATTGTGTTGGTTTAAAAACGATGGATCTGTTCCTGGTATATTTTTACCTACATTTAGTGATTTTTAATTACCTGCATCAATTTTGCTCAAGCTGGCCTCAAACCGCTGCCACCAATGCCTCAAATAAAATATTTTTGGTCGGGAAACTCCTAAACGTATACTGGTCGAGACGAATGACAAAAGGCTATTACGGCAATGGCTATTTTTGACTCAAGATTTCTAAGTGTTTTTCAATGAATATTTTTAATTAAAGAAACGATATGGTGCAATCAATCAAGGTCAACTATGAATAAACTGCTTAGCAACCATCTCCCCCCCCCCCCCAACCACAAGCGAATATGTCAAATGTATCGATGGCCGTTG